TTCCAGGTTCTTCAATGGTTCAGTTGCACAGCATTGCAGTCCGATACCTAGGATTAAATCAGACATTGCTCCCAAAAGCACAATAGTTTCCACAAGGGAAACACCACTTGTATTGTCGAAGGCTTTCATGGCCGGAATCACTGGGTTGTTGTAGGTTTTTCCGGGCTATATGGCCATGTTCTGGAGGCAATTTTTCTCCTGACATTTCGCCTGCATCTATGGCAAGCATCCTCAGAGGTAGTGAGATCCTCACTACCTCTGAGGATGCTTGCCATAGATGCAGGCGAAACGTCAGGAGAAAAATTGCCTCCAGAACATGGCCATATAGCCCGGAAAAACCTACAACAACCCAAACACCACTTGGTTCCTCAATCATCATACCAAACCCTACAAGGAGCATCTTAGGAAGCTGGGTATGTTCAGCTTGGAAAAAATAAAGTTGAGACGGGACATGATACCCCTGGCAAGTGACTTTTTTGTACATTATCTGTGTAGAGCTGGGCAAAATGACCAATTCTATCATGTTTCCTTTCTTTACCTCTTTCTTTTTCCTTGCCCTCTTTTCTCTTTTCTTCCTCTAACGAAATAGCTAATTATAATGTATGTTTTAAATGTGTTTATTGATATTGTGATATGATAGGTGCAGGCCAACATTTGCTGTGGTTGCCTTAGATCAGGGGTCCTCAAACTTTGTAAACAGAGGGCCAGGTCACAGTCCCTCAAACTGTTGGAGGGGCGGGTTATAATTTGGAAAAAAAAACATGAACAAATTCCTATGCACACTGCACCTATCCTATTTATAGTGCAAAAACCACTTAAAAACAATACAATAATTAAAATGAAGAACAATTTTAACAAATATATTAGAAATGTTGGACCACTCCAACAACCACCATGTCAGACTACACAGAGAAGCCATTGACATCCACAAGTATGTGGACAATTTGAACAGAAAGGAGGAAACCATGAAAATGAACAAAATCTGGCTACCAGTATTAAAAAAACTCTAAATTACAACAGCACAACAACAGAGAGGAAACAAACAAGGACATCTAATCACCTCTCAACAAAAGTTTGCTCTAGGCACTGTCAGGCCATTATATGCTAATCAAGGTGGTCAGTTGAAACATTCACACCTCAACAAAAGATTGCTCCAGGCACTGCCATATCGCCACAACATACAGTGACTTCCAACCTCACTACCTCTGAGGATGCTTGCCATAGATGCAGGCGAAACGTCAGGAGAAATGCCTCTAGAACATTGCTCTATAGCCCGAATATAAACTTATTAGTATTTCAATGGGAAGTGTGGGCCTGCCTTTGGCTGATGAGATAGGATTGTTGTTGTTGTTGTTGTTGTTGTTGTTGTTGTTGTTGTGTGCTTTTAAGTCATTACAGACTTAGGTTGACCCTGAGCGAGGGCCAGGTAAATGACCTTGGAGGGCCGCATCCGGCCCCGGGCCTTAGTTTGAGGATCCCTGCCTTAGATAATGCGTTGCCATAGTAACGTAGGCCTCCAGGCAGAAGTAAAAGGGGTGGAAGTAACCGCCACTGGAGGAGAGAGCACAGTCTTTGGTGAGGGAACCAAACTGGAAGGTTGGTTCGTGGAGGAGCCAAACCAAAGTGGTTTAAGTCTTTAGCCGGAGGCAGGCCCGTAGCCAGGATTTCGTTTCGGGGGGGGGGGTTTTTTTCGGGGGGGGTTGGGGGGCTGAGTTTCGGGGGGGCTGAGTCTGAGTGAAAGAGGGTCTACCCTAGCAAACCTTTTGTATCATTACCCCAATATCCCCGTGCATATGGGATATATTGAGTATGGTGATCAGATCATGATATGAATAAACATAACAGTTTAAATAATGCACCAATAAGGCCTTTTCGTGAACCACCATGAAAATTTCGGGGGGGGGGGGCTGAAGCCCCCCACCCCCCCCCCCCTGGCTACAGGCCTGCTTCGGAGGGCTAAAGGGTGGTCCTAGCTATGTGAGGGCAGGACTCAGGGGTTTATTATAACCAGTTTAAAATTCAGTCTTGCTATTTTAAGATTAAAATATTCAGTTGAATTATAGGTAAAGTGAAGAAACCATAAAAGTCATAGAATCATAGAATCCTAGAGTTGGAAGAGATCTCATGGGCCATCCAGTCCAACCCCCTGCCAAGAAGCAGGAATATTGGCCACAATGGTCCACGCTCTTGTTACATCCCGAATAGATTACTGTAACACACTCTACATGGGGTTGCCTTTGAAGACTGTTCGGAAACTTCAATTAGTCCAGCGGGCGGCGGCCAGATTACTCACCGGAGCGTCATACCACCCCTCTGTTATGTCAGCTCCACTGGCTGCCGATCCAGTTCCGAGCACAATTCAAAGTGCTGGTTTTGACCCACAAAACCCTATATGGTTCCGGCGCAGCGTACCTGCCCGAACGCATCTCCTTCTACGTCCCGCCTCGGAGTTTAAGATCTTCTGGGGAGGCCCTGCTCTCGGCCCCACCTCTATCACAAGTGAGATTGGTGAGACGAGGAGCAGGGCCTTCTCGGTGGTGGCCCCTCGCCTGTGGAATTCACTTCCCGGGGAAATTAGGTCATCGACATCCCTCCTCTCTTTCAGAAGGAAACTAAAAACATGGATATGGGACCAAGCCTTTGGGTAACCTGGCAGATAGACAAAGGACAATGATGACTAGAATTGATAGGATTTGACAATGTGGAATGAATTTACGGATTCTGAGCTGGAGAACGTTGAACATTAGATTGGTTTTATTGATTGTGATATATAATTTGCTTGTTTTAATTGTTTATAATTGCTATTGATACATGTTTTATCTTATTGTTTGTTGTTGGCATCAAATTGTGCCTTTTGTAAGCCGCCCCGAGTTCCCCCTCGGGGGTTGAGAAGGGCGGGGTAGAAATACGCGAAATATAAAATAAATATTGCATTCAAAGCACCCCTGACAGATGGCCATCCAGCCTCTGCTTAAAAGCTTCCAAAGAAGGAGCCTCCACCACACTCCGGGGCAGAGAGTTCCACTGCTGAACAGCTCTCACAGTCAGGAAGTTCTTCCTCATGTTCAGATGAAATCTCCTTTCTTGTAGTTTGAAGCCATTGTTCCGCGTCCTAGTCTCCAAGGAAGCAGAAAACAATCTTGCTCCCTCCTCCCTATGACTTCCTCTCACATATTTATACATGGCAATCATGTCTCCTCTCAACCTTCTCTTCTTCAGGCTAAACATGCCCAGCTCCTTAAGCCGCTCCTCATAGGGCTTGTTCTCCGGACCCTTGATAATTTTATTTGCCCTCTTTTGTCAAGAGACTGAGGGAAGAAACAAAGTTTTAAAGAAAGGAAACAACAACAACATTGAGGTGGCAGAACAGAAGCCATTCTTAAAGATTAATAGTAACCGTGTCATGTTTTCAGAAAAAACAAAGAGTTAACTGCAGCAATAACAAGAAGATATTGTGTAACCGGAGAAGCATCTGGCTATGTCCGATCACCAGACGCAGACTGATGGCATCTTCCAGAAAGATCTGCTGGGGACTATGTCTGGTTATAGGGACATAAGCAAATCCTTCTCCGGTTCCCTTAATTCTCCATCAGTCATAGAATCATAGAATCCTAGATTTGGAAGAGACCTCATGGGCCATCCAGTCCAACCCCCTGCCAAGAGGCAGGAATATTGCATTCAAATCACCCCTGACAGATGGCCATCCAGCCTCTGTTTAAAAGCTTCCAAAGAAGGAGCCTCCACCACACATTTGTCAATTGAGGATGGGTTTCACAGAAAACCATTTAGTCCTGGAGCAATTTGGCCATTATGCAAGGCGGAAGAGAGCACCAGCCTCCACACAACAATAACAACTAAAAAGATATATGCAATCTATATAAATAAAAATGTAATGTTCGTTTGTGGGATTAACAGAACTCAAAAACCACTGGATGAATTGACACCAAATTTGGACACAACACACCTAACAACCCAATGTATGTCCTTCACTCAAAAAATTGATTTTGTCATTTGGGAGTTGTAGTTGCTGGGATTTATAGTTCACCTACAATCAAAGAGCATTCTGAACCCCTCCAGCGATGGAATTGAACCAAACTTGGCACACTGTTCTCCCATGACCAAAAGAAAATACTGGAAGGGTTTGGTGGGCAGTATCCTTTGGTTTTGGAGTTGTAGTTCACCTACATCCAGAGATCACTGTGGACTCAAACAATGATGGATCTGGACCAAACTCTACACGAATACTCAATATGCCCAAATGTGAACACTGGTGGAGTTTGGGGGAAATAGAAACTTGACATTTGGGAGTTGTAGTTGCTGGGATTTATAGTTCACCTATAGTCCCACCAACAATGGAATTGAACCAAACTTGGCACACAGTTCTCCCATGACCAACAGAAAATACTGGAAGGGTTTGGTGGGCAGTGTCTTTTGATTTTGGAGTTGTAGTTCACCTACATCCAGAGATTACTGTGGATTCAAACAATGATGGATCTGGATCAAAATCTGCACGAATACTCAATATACCCAAATGTGAACACTGGTGGAGTTTGGGGAAAATAGAATCTTGACATTAGTTGCTGGGATTTATAGTTCACCTACATTCAGAGATCACTGTGGACTCAAACAATGATGGATCTGGACCAAACTCTACACGAATACCCAATATGCCCAAATGTGAACACTGGTGGAGTTTGGGGAAAATAGAATCTTGACATGTAGTTGCTGGGATTTATAGTTCACCTACAATCACAGAGCATTCTGAACCCCACCAACGATAGAATTGGGCCAAACCTCCCACACAGAACCCCCATGACCACCAGAGTGGGCCACAGCAACGCATGGCAGGGGACGGCTAGTAATAACTAAAAAGACATACACTTGTGTGTACACTAACAGAATGCAATGTTTATGTCTCACTACGCATATGGGTATTTACCTTATATTACCTCAGTATAAGATTTAAGCCTAGCTGTGGCATTGAGCTTTCTCAGGCCTTATATCACAACTTCTCCTTATTGCCACATCGTCCAAGAGCTCATATCGGTCAACAATCTGACATGCTAACAGGAAGCAGTGCCATCAACACGGGTTCTGGTAAACCAGAGGAGGGGTGGGATCCGTGACCGAAGTTCCACATTTTTCTCTTCCTCCTCTGCATGTGTCCACCACCAAAACACTCTACAGCAATATTTCTGAATGCCATTTGTCTGGACAGCATAGACCAGTGGATGGATACAGATGTGAAAGTGGACCAAGACCTTGGCGAGCTGGAATGCCATATGTATAAGCCCACAGTCTATCCTTTGGCGCATACGGTGGCTGAGGTGCAAATTTTGCAGAACATGGAAGGGCAGGTAGAAAATGAGATAGAGGACTACAACCAAAGACACCAGTGCCTTGACTTTGCGCTTTTTCAGCACTGGGATGTTGCGATTGTTGTGAATGGTGTAGATTATTACCCCACAGGAGATGCCAGTCAGGAGAAATGGCAACCCGAAGCCGAAGGCCAGGAGGAACAAGCTGTAAGGCCAATACCTTGGTAGCTGCTCATCAGAAGCACTTCCCAAGCACTGAGTCGTGTTGATGTTGTTTTGGGAGACACGATTCAGGGTGGAAAAATGGAGGACTGGAGAGGAAATGACAACTACCAACAACCACACTGAACCACTCAGGATCCTGGCGTGGCGGAGCGTGGTGCGGACTTGGGCAAAGAAGGGGTGGACGACAGCAACGTAGCGGTTCATGCTGATGCAAGCAATGAAGAAAGTGCTAGCATAAAGGTTGCAGAAGAAAAAGAAACGGTCCAACGTGCAGAGAACTGGGCCATAGATCCAGTCTTTGGGTGGGAAGTAATAAAGTATCATGGGAAACAGGGAGAAGGCATAGAGCAGATCACTGACGGCCAAGTTGAAGCAGTAGACGATGGCAGTGTTCCACTTTCGTTTGGAAGTCAGGAAGTGGTAGATAGCAAGGCTGTTCCCCACAACGGCCAGAAGAAACTGCACCAACAAGATGGGCCATATTTGCTCTTGAAAGTTGTCTCTGCAGCTTTTAGTCATGTTCCCATGGTCGACCAATCCCGTCGGTCTCTTAGAAAGCAGAAAGGACAGAATCAGAGTATTATATTATACATTATTATTATTATTATTATTATTATTATTATTATTATTATTATCTTTATTTGTACCCCGCTAGCATCTCCCGAAGGACTCGATGCGGCTTACAAAGGCCAAGACCTCAACACACAACATAACAATACAAAACCTAAAGCAAATTAAAAACAGTTAAGACAATATTAAACAACAAGCAATAAACAATACATCAAGACACAATAAAACTGGGCCGGGCCAGAGTAATAGGTACAGAATTAAAAGTGCTGATGTGACAGATGATATGTCACATCAGCACTTTATTAGGTCTAATAAAGTGCTTCTGGGACTTGTTATTGGAGTATTCCTATTTTGGAAAGGCACATCAGAACAGCCAGGTCTTCAAGTTCTTTCTAAAGACTGCCAATGTAGGGGCCTGTCTAAGATCTTTGAGGAGGGTGTTCCAGAGTCGGGGGGCCACCACAGAAAAGGCCCTGTCTCATGTCCTCACCAAACGCGCCTGCGACGCAGGTGGAATCACGAGCAGGGCCTCTCCGGATGAACGAAGTGAACGCGTGGGTTCGTAAACGGAGATGCGGTCACACAGGTAGAATAGTTCCAACCCGTTTAGGGCTTTGTAGGTAAGCACCTGCACCTTAAATTGGGCTCGGAAAATAAACGGCAGCCAGTGGAGGTCCTTGAACAGGAGGGTTGACCTCTCTCTGTAAGGAGCACCAGTTAACATCCTGGCCACTGCCCGCTGGACCAGTTGGAATTTCCGAGCCGTTTTCAAGGGCAGCCCCATGTAGAGCGCATTACAGTAGTCCAGTCTAGAGGTGACCAAGGCATGGACCATCCCGGCCAGATCAGCCTTTGCGAGGTATGGTCGCAGTTGGCGCACGAGTCTCAATTGTGCAAAAGCCCTCCCGGACACCGCCGACGCTTGAGCCTCAAATGTAAGCAATGAATCCAAGAGGACTCCCGAACTGCGGACCTGTGGCTTCAGGGGGAGTGTAACCCCGTCCAACACAGGTTGCCACCCTATACCCTGATCAGGTTTACGATCGACCAGGAGGACCTCTGTCCAGATAGACACAGCGGCCAGGCACTCGTGCAGCACCTGAGAGGCCTCCTTGGAGTTAGGTGGAAAAGAGTAGTAGAGTTGTGTGTCATCTGCGTAGAGATGGCACTTAACTCCAAAACTCCGGATGACCTCTCCCAGCGGTTTCATGTAGATGTTAAAAAGCATGGGAGACAGAATAGAGCCTTGCGGGACCCCACAGGTCAAAGGCCAGGGGTCCGAGCAGGCATCTCCCAGCTTCACCATCTGGGTTCGTCCCTCCAGGAAGGACCGGAGCCACGACAAAACCGTGCCCCTGAAACCCATCCCAGAGAGTCGACCCAGAAGGATACCATGATCGATGGTATCGAAAGCCGCTGAGATGTCCAAGAGAACCAGCAAGGTCACACTCCCCCTGTCCAGCTCTATGGTATATTATAGTATATTATTATATTATTACTAGCTGTCCCATGCCATGCGTTGCTGTGGCCCAGTCTGGTTATCTGGAAAATAAAGTAATGGTTTCTAATATATGTAATTCCTTTCTGCTTGTGGGTAAACAGTTTTTCTTGCTGTTTCTTTGTCAGTGTTGATGTGGAGGTCGGTTTGCCTACTCTGCAACATGCAACTTATCATTGTCCTTCTTTAGAGGTCCCTTTCAAATCCGTGATACCATATCTGTGTGTGTGTGAATCATATATATCTCTCTATGTCTATGGTTGGATGGCTCTTTGACAGGAGGGCTTTGATTATGTTTTCTTGCCCTGGTGAAGGAAGTTGGACTGTTTGGCCTTCAGTATGGGGGTTCTGTGTGGGAAGAGTTGCCCCGATTCTGTCGTTTGTGGGGTTCAGAATGCTCTTTGATTGTAGGTGAACTATAAATTCCAGTAACTACAACTCCCAAATGTCAAGGTCTATTTCCCCCAAACTCCATCTGTGTTCATATTTGGGCATATGGAGTATTTGTGCCAAGTTTGGTCCAGAGAGTACAAAGTGCTCTCTGGATGTTGGTGAACTACAACTCCCAAACTCAAGGTCAATGCCCACCAAACCCTTCTAGTGTTTTCTGTTGGTCAAGGGAGTCCTGTATGCAGGGGCGGCTCAACCCATTACGCAAAGTAAGCATTCGCAGTATAGTTAATTTTGCCCAGGGGCGCTCTTGAGGTGCTCTTGGGGGAAAATAGACCTTGACATATGCGAGTTGTAGTTACTGGGATGTATAGTTCACCTAAAATCAAAGAGCATTCTGAACTCCACCAATGATGGAATTGAACCAAATATGGCACCCTGAACTCCCATAAAAAACAGAAAATATATATCAATGATTGGGGAGGGGGGGGCGCCAAAATACTTTTTGCTTACTGTTGAAAATTACCTAGGGCCGTCTGCCTGTATGCCACATTTGGTTCAGTGCCATCATTGGTGGAGTTCTGAATGCTCTTTGATTGTAGGTGAACTATAAATCCCAGCAACTACAACTCCCAAAAGACAAAATCAAATTTTTTTGGTGAAGGACATACATTGGGTTGTTAGGTGTATCGTGTCCAAATTTGGTGTCAATTCCCCCAGTGGTTTTTGAGTTATGTTAATCTCACAAACGAACATTACATTTTTATTTATATAGATATTATTATATATAATATTACTATAATATTATAGTATTATAATGACTATTATGTAGGAGCCCCCGGTGGATTAAACCACTGAGCTGCTAAGCTTGTTGACCGAAAGGTCGCAGGTTCGAATCCAGGGAGCGGCGTGAGCTTCCGCTGTCGGTCCCAACTTCTGCCAACCTAGCAGTTCGAAAACATGCAAATGTGAGTAGATCAATAGGTACCGCTCCGGTGGGAAGGTAACAACACTCGATGCAGACACTCCAAGTAATTACCCGAAAGCCTGGTCCCACATCCATATTTTTAACTTTTTTCTAAAGGTGAGGAGGGATGAAGATGACCTAATTTCCCTGGAGAGTTAATTCCACAGGCGGGGGGCCACCACCGAGAAGGCCCTGTCCCTCGTCCCCACCAAGCACGTTTGAGACAGAGGCGGGACCAAGAGCAAGGCCTCCCCTGAAGATCTTAAACTCCGAGGTGGGACGTAGAAGGAGATACGTTCAGACAGGTACGCTGTACCGGAGCCATATAGGGTTTTATAGGTCAAAACCAGCACTTTGAATTGTGCTTGGAATTGGATCGGTGACCAGTGGAGCTGACATAACAGGGGGTGGTATGCTCCCTGTATGATGCTCCGGTGAGTAATCTAGCTACCGCCCGTTGGACTAATTGAAGTTTTCGAACAGTCTTCAAAGGCAACCCCATGTACAGCGTGTTACAGTAATCTATTCGGGATGTGACAAGAGTGTGGCAATTGTATTAGCCATGGGGCAAAGAGAAATGCAGAAATGCAAGATTAGTAAATAAAGCCAAATACAGTCAGCGCTCCACATTCACTGGGTTTAGGGACACAGGACCCCTGCAAAAATGGGAAAACACAAATCATAGAATCATAGAATCATAGAATCAAAGAGTTGGAAGAGACCTCATTGGCCATCCAGTCCAACCCCCTGCCAAGAAGCAGGAATATTGCATTCAAATCACCCCTGACAGATGGCCATCCAGCCTCTGTTTAAAAGCTTCCAAAGAAGGAGCCTCCACCACACTCCATGGCAGAGAGTTCCACTGCTGAACGGCTCTCACAGTCAGGAAGTTCTTCCTCATGTTCAGATGGAATCTCCTTTCTTGTAGTTTGAAGAACAAGAAAGAACAAATAATAAAGTGTAGATGCACCCTTGGCCATGCTGGAGAATGGCAGCATATTGGAAGTGAGCTTTTAAGCTCTGCTTAAGTTGACTAACTAGAGACAGATTTCATCTCACAGTTACTACCAGGGCTATAGTTATCTGATGGGCACAGAGTTATCTTTTCATTTTGCTGTGTTCATCTTTCCTGTCAATCGGTTACTTGGAACTTGATAACGAAGGCTTTGGTAGTTTGCACGATTCATGTCTCATTGCCAAACATGTGTTTCCAAAACATAATCTGATGTTTTAAACTTTTCATGCATGAGTTATGGGGGTAGCATGGCAGAGAATTGTTTTTGTTTCTCATTTTGATGTCCCCTTTTTAAAGCCAGATATCCCAGACCGACACATTAATCCAAATACAACTTCCATATCCGCAAGTCTCAGAATTTTGCAGGGCAGTTCTCCAAAATAATGAATTGGTGGAAGTGTACACCAAAATGCATTTCTTAGAACCAGACTGAGACCAACCCTCTCCCCCAAATAGGTTCAGCACTTTGGGTGCCTGATCAAAGTTTAGACTAAAACCCAGATTGGAATTCGCAATCCAATAGACCTGGAATACATTGCCTGTGACTGTTTACATGCTTGAGGCTTTCTCATCATCCATTCCAGTTTCTCAGTGTCTTTTTGGAATTGAGGCATAAGGAATTTATTTATTTACTACCCGTCCCCTGCCAAGCATTGCTGCGGCCCACATGGGGGTTCTGTGTGGAAGCTTTGGCCAAATTCTATCTTTGGTGGGGTTCAGAATGCTCTGTGATTGTAGGTGAACTATAAATCCCAGCAACCACAACTCCTAAATGTCAAGATTCTATTTCCCCCAAACTCCACCAGTGTTCACATTTGGGCATATTGAGTATCCGTGTAGAGTTTGGTCCAGATCCATCATTGTTTGAGTCCACAGTGATCCCTGGATGTAGGTGAACTACAACTCCAAAACCAAAGGACACTGCCCACCAAACCCTTCGAGTATTTTCTGTTGGTCATGGGAGAACTGTGTGCCAAGTTTGGTTCAATTCCATCATTAGTGGGGTTCAGAATGCTCTTTGATTGTAGGTGAACTATAAATCCCAGGAACTACAACTCCCAAATGACAAAATCATTTTTTTAAGTCAAGGACATGCATTGGATTGTTAGGTGTCTTGTGTCCAAACTTGGTGTCAATTCGTCCAGTGGTTTTTGAGTTCTATTAATCCCACAAACGAACATTACATTTTTATTTATATAGACTAGCTGTACCCGCCACGCGTTGCTGTGGCCAACCTTCCTTCCCTCTTTCTCTCCTCCCTTCCCTCTTTCCTTCCTTTCCTCTTTCTTTCCTTTCTCTTCTTTCTTCCATCTCTACCTGTTTCTTTCCTCCCTTTCTTTGCTCTTTGGTTCCTTCCTTCCTTCCTTCCCTCTCTTTTTCCTTTCACTTTTTTGCTTCTCTCCTTCCTTGCTTCTATATCTTTCTTTCTTTCCTTCTTTCTCTCCCTCCTTCTCTCCTTCTCTCCTTCCTTCCTTCCTTCCTTCCTTCCTTCCTTCCTTCCTTCCTTCCTTCCTTCCTTCCTTCCTTCCTTCCTTCCTTCCTTCCCTCCTTCTCTCGTTACTTCTTGACTGTCCCTTCCATTTAATGTATTTATATCTTACATAGAAAGAAGGAAAGGAAGAAGAAGGAAGGAAGGAAGGAAGGAAGGAAGGAAGGAAGGAAGGAAGGAAGGAAGAGGAAGAGAAGGAAGAAAGCAGAGAAAGGGGAAGGGAAAGAAAAAGGGAAGGAAAGAAAGGAAAGAGGTAGAGAAGGAAGGAAGGAAGGAAGGAAGGAAGGAAGGAGAGAAAGAAAGGAGAAAAAGAGAGAGGGAAGGTTGGCCACAGCAACGTGTGGTGGGTACATCTAGTATTACTATAAGAATAGCGAACGAAGGGAAGGAAGGAAAGAAGAAGGAGGGAAGGAGGGAAGAAGAGGAAGAAGGAAGGAAGGAAGGAAGGAAGGAAAGAAGGAGGAAGGAAGGAAGGAAAGGAAGGAAGGAGGAAGAAAGGAGGGTGAAAAGGAGGGAGGGAGAAAAGGGGAAGGAAAGGAGAAAGGAAAAAAGAAGGAAGGAGGAAAAGGAAGGGAGGGAGGAAAAGAAGGAAGGAAAAGGAAGGAGAAAGAAGGAGGGAAAGAAGAGAAAGAAAGGGGGGAAAGAAGGGAAGAGAGGGAGAGAAGGAAGGTCCTTCATTCAAGCACCGTGGACCTTCCTCGCCTCCTCCTCCTCCCCCTCACCTTTCTTTGAAGAGTCAAGAGGGAATGAGCCGATCTTATATCTTTAGGCAGTCGAGGGGCCACCGCTGAGAAGACCCTGTCTCGCGTCCCCGCCAAATGCATCTGTGAGGAAGGCGGGACCGAGAGCAGGGCATCCCCAGAAGATCTTAACGTCCTAGATGGTTCATAAGGAGAGATATGTTTGGATAGGTAAATTGGACCAAAACCCTTTAGGGCTTTATAGGCTAAAGCCAGCACTTTGAATTGTGCCCGGAAGCAAACTGGCAGCCAGTGGAGCTGGCGCAACAGAAGGATTGTGTGCTCCCTGCTGCTAAAACAATCTCTCCCAATATATACATACATATATCAATACATACCCTCAATGCAAAGACCAAGTCTTCTTTTTTTGTAGAATTGTGGTAGTAGAGTTTTTCCATCGTGGCCGGCGAAGTCGTGGTTGTAAAGTCTCTCCGCAAATTTCACTACAAGAGACTGCATGAGGAACTAGACAAGTCTGTACTCAGTGCAGAGTCAAGGGGCAAACAAGGCTCATTTCCAGAGACTGCATTATACATACTGAGCAGATGATAACTTCCACGGAAACATATCAGACCGCATTCAGCAGAGCTGGTTGGTGGAAGATAAAGTCACAGCTCAAAGAAAGAAGGGAAAGGATACCTTTAAATCTGCAACTGGGGAAGGAAGTGCCTTGAGTTCAGGTTGAACTTGCCTTCAGTGACTTCACAGGAATCTCTACGTGCTCCTCAGAAAACGTATCAGGCAGAAATGAAATATTTGCAGAAGAAAGAAGTAAAGTGTCCCATAAATAAATAGGAATGATGACCATGGAGCTGAACTCAATGAACTTCAGATCCAACCAAGGTGTCCCTTGTTGTATGACTTGGAAAATTAGTTTTACAGAAATAAATCACGTAACTGTTTAAAATGGAGTCAGTGGTTGTTGGTGGCTTCCATCATGTCAGCCAGGCAATAGATCCACATTGGTTTTTAGCGGTGTTGCATGTTGAATACTGTTCCACAAAATGTTGTTGTTGTTCATTCGTTCAGTTGTCTCTGACTCTTCGTGACCTCATGGACCAGCCCACACCAGAGCTCCCTGACGGCCGTCACCACCCCCAGCTCCTTCAAGGTCAGTCCAGTCACTTCAAGGATACCATCCATCCATCTTGCCCTTGGTCGGCCCCTCTTCTTTTTTCCTTCCATTTCCCCCAGCATAATTGTCTTCTCTAGGCCTTGCTGTCTCCTCATGATGTGGCCAAAGTACTTCAACTTTGTCTCTAGTCTCCTTCCCTCCAATGAGCAGCCGGGCTTTATTTCCTGGAGGATGGACTGGTTGGATCTTCTCGCAGTCCAAGGCACTCTCAGCACTTTCCTCCAGCACCACAGCTCAAAAGCGCCTCTCTTCCTTCGCTCAGCCTTCCCTAAGGTCCAGCTCTCACATCCGTAGGTTACTACAGGGAATACCATGGCTTTGACTAGGCGGATCTTTGTTGCCAGTCTGATGTCTCTACTCTTTACTATTTTATCGAGATTGGACATTGCTCTCCTCCCAAGAAGTAAGCGTCTTCTGATTTCCTGGCCACAGTCTGCATCTGCAGTAATCTTTGCGTCTAGAAATACAAAGTCTGTCACGGCCTCCACATTTTCTCCCTCTATTTTCCAGTTGTCAATCATTCTTGTTGCCATAATCTTGGTTTTTTTTATGTTTAGCTGCAACCCAGCTTTTGCGCTTTCTTCTTTCACCTTGATTAGAAGGCTCTCAGGTCCTCCTCGCTTTCGGCCATCAGAGTGGTGTCATCTGCATATCTGAGGTTGTTAATGTTTCTTCCAGCAATTTTCACCCCAGCCTTGCATTCATCAAGCCCCGCACATCGCATGATGTGTTCTGCATACAAGTTAAAAAGGTTGGGTGAGAGGATGCAGCCTTGCCGTACGCCTTTCCCAATCTTGAACCAGTCTGTTGTTCCGTGGTCAGTTCTGACTGTTGCTATTTGGTCCTTGTACAGATTCCTCAGGAGAGAGACAAGGTGGCTTGGGATGCCCATCCCACTAAGAACTTGCCACAATTTATTATGATCCACACAGTCAAAGGCTTGAGAATAGTCAATGAAGCAGAAGTAGATGTTTTTCTGAAACTCCCTGCCTTTCTCCATTATCCAGCGGATATTGGCAATTTGGTCTCTCGTTCCTCTGCCTTTTCTAAACCCAGCTTGAACATCTGGCAACTCTCTCTCCATGTATTGCTGGAGTCTTCCTTGCAGGATCTTGAGCATTACCTTACTGGCATGAGAAATAAGGGCCACCGTACGGAAGATCGTATCTTGGGAAGTCTGACTTGGCCAAGGTGGTCCACACTCCTGTTACATCCCGTATAGACTGCTGCAATGCTCTCTACGTGGGGTTGCCTCTGAAGACTGCCCGGAAGCTTCAACTAGTCCAACGAGCAGCAGCCAGATTACTAACAGGAGCAGGGTACAGGGAGCATACTACTCCTCTGCTGCATCAGCTCCACTGGCTGCCAATTAGCTTCCGAGCACAATTCAAAGTTCTGGTGTTGACCTATAAATCCCTAAACGACTCCAGCCCAGTTTACCTGTCCGAACAGATTCTCCCCTATGAACCATCAAGGTTAAGATCTTCTGGAGGGGCCCTGCTCTCGGTCCCACCACCTTCGCAATCGCGTCTGGTGGGGATGAGGGACAGGGTCTTCTCGGTGGTGGCCCCTCGGCTCTGGAACTCTCTCCCACTGGAGATTAGATCTGCCTCTTCCCTCCTGACTTTCAGAAAGCTGGTAAAAACCTGGCTTTGGAATATAGTATTTGCAGAACGATGATCGAGTCAATAACGGCTGACCACACCGGCAGATGGTGATGAATTTGTGAGTTTGGGGGTCCTCCTGGACTCAGCGCTGACGCTTGATGCGCAGGTGTCGGCGGTGGGCAGGAGGGCCTTCGCACAATTAAAACTTTGGCGCCAACTGTGACCTTACCTCGTGAAGTCTGACTTGACCATGGTGGTCCATGCCTTAGTTACCTCTAGACTGGACTACTGTAATGCACTCTATGTGGGGCTACCCTTGAAGATGACCCGGAAACTACTTGTCCAACGTTCGGCAGTCAGATTAATAACTAGGGCTAGTTATAGGGAGAGGTCTACCTCCCTGTTTAAGGAGCTACACTGGCTGCCGTTTATCTTCCGGTCCCAATTCAAGGTACAGGTTATCACCTATAAAGCCCTAAACGGTTTGGGACCTGCCTACCTTCGTGACAGTATCTCCCTCCATGAACCAACTCGGACCCTCCGATCTTCTGGGGAGGCCCTTCTTTCACCCCTGCCAGTTTCGCAAGCTCGCCTTGTGGGCACAAGGGAGAGAGCTTTCTCCTCTGTGGCCCCCTGACTCTGGAACTCATTACCTAGAGAGATTAGGAAAGCCCCTATCCCAGGTTTTAAGGTTTTAAAAAGAACCTCAAAACCTGGCTCTTCCGCTTTGGTGAGTAGGCACGCAACCTCACACTATTACTCAGCCTCAACGTTCTGTCCCCCGCATGGGAAAGCTTGATTCCACAACCCCCGCTATAATGAGCCCTCCTCCGCAAATAACCTGCTTTTTTTATCTCACCCGAGTTTTTAATTAGTTTTTAATTAGTTTTTCTTTTAATTATTACATGTAGCCCGCCCATTGTCACTGTAATTTTATATTGTTATGTATTCACATGTTTTATGTAATTATGATGTTGTTGTTTCTTGTTTGCGTTTTCGCTTTGTGTTTTCGGTTTTACTCTGTTGTAATTTGTTGTTTGGGCTTGGCCTCATGTAAGCAGCCCCGAGTCCCCATCGGGGAGATGGTGGCGGGGTATAAATAAAGTTTATTTATATTTATTATTTCTTGAATTCCAGGAGTTTTTGACTTTTTACCCCTAACAGTTTCATCCACTTTGGCAAAAGGTAAGAGACTCTGAGAGCCAGTGCCAAAAGCATCTGAAGAACCACAGTTTGGGAATATTTGGGACAGATCTTTCAAAGTTCAGACTAAAAAATGAAATGGATTCCCAATGGCATGGAAGGCAACATCTACCACTGGAAGCAGGCCCATAGCCAGGATTTTGATTCGGGGGTGGGGGGGGGGGCTGAGTTTGATTCGTGGGGGGGGGGGGGGGGGGGGTTGAGTCTGAGTGAAAGAGGGTCTACCCTAGCAAACCTTTTGTATCGTTACCCCAATACCCCCATGCATATGGTATATATCAAGCATGGTGATCAGATAATGATATGAATAAACAAGGGAAGGCAAAATTCCAGCCAGCTTAAAACAAGCTGTGATAAAACCGCTGTTGAAAAAACCATCACTGGATCCCACTCAATTCGTCAACTATCGGCCTGTTTCCAATCTTCCCTTTTTGGGCAAAGTCCTGGAACGTGTGGTGGCCTCACAACTCCAGGTATTCTTGGTAGACACGGATTATCTAGATCCGGCACAGTCTGGTTTCAGGCCGGGACATGGTACCGAGACAGCCTTGGTCGCCTTAGTGGATGATCTGCGCCGGGAGCTAGACAGGGGGAGTGTGTCCCTGTTAGTTCTGCTGGACCTCTCAGCGGCCTTCGATACCGTCGACCACAGTATCCTTCTGAGACGCCTCGCGGGAATGGGCCTTGGTGGCACTGCTCTGCAGTGGCTCGGGTCCTTCCTAGAGGATCGTACTCAGAAGGTGTTGCTGGGGGACAACTGCTCTACCTCACAACCATTGACTTGTGGGGTTCCGCAGGGCTCAATATTGTCCCCCATGTTATTTAACATCTACATGAAGCCGTTGGGAGAGATCATCCGGAGTTTCGGGGTGCGGTGTTATCTGTACGCAGATGACGTCCAACTCTGTCACTCCTTCCCACCTACTACTAAGGAGGCTGTTCAGGTCCTGAACCGGTGCTTGGCCACTGTGACGGACTGGATGAGGGACAACAGATGGTGTCATCTGTAGGCGGATGATGTCCAACTCTGTCACTCCTTCCCACCTACTACTAAGGAGGCTGTTCAGGTCCTGAACCGTTGCTTGGCCGCTGTATCGGACTGGATGAGGGCGAACAAATTGAAATTGAATCCAGATAAGACAGAGGCACTCCTGGTCAGTCGAAGGCCGAACAGGGTATAGGGTTACAGCCTGTGTTAGACGGGGTTACACTCCCCCTGAAGACGCAGGTTCGCAGCTTGGGTGTGATCCTGGACTCTTCGCTAAGCTTGGAACCCCAAGTTTCGGCGGTGTCCAGGGGAGCATTTGCACAACTCAAACTTGTGCGCCAGCTGCGCCCGTACCTTGGGAAGTCTGATTTGGCCACGGTGGTCCACGCTCTGGTTACATCCCGGATTGATTACTGCAACGCGCTCTACGTGGGGTTGCCCTTGAAGACTGCCCGGAAGCTTCAGATGGTCCAGCGCTCGGCAGCCAGGTTGCTAACGGGAGCGGCACTCAGGGAGCACACCACTCCTCTGTTGAGCCAGCTCCACTGGCTGCCAATCCGCTACCGGGCACAATTCAAGGTGCTGGCTTTAGCCTATAAAGCCCTAAACGGTTCTGGCCCCGCTTACCTCTCCGAACACATCTCCACCTATGAACCGACTAGAACATTAAGATCGTCTGGGGAGGCCCTGCTCTCGATCCCGCCTGCGTCACAGGCGCGCTTGGCGGGGACGAGAGACAGGGCCTTCTCAGTGGTGGCCCCTTGGCTATGGAATGCCTTGCCGGCAGACATCAGACAGGCATCTTCGTTGCTGACGTTTCGGAGAATGATCAAGACCTGGCTTTACGAACAAGCGTTTGGCTAAGCAATGCAACTAATCAAGGAAGACGGTAAATGGAACATAGGAACGGCACAACGACTATGAGAACGGATCTGATTTCAACTGAGGCGTTATATATGTTATTTGTTGATTTGTCCTGTCCAATTGTTAATTGTTGTGGATCGACGTCGTTGATCCTGTTGTTGCATTGTTGTGTTTTAATTGCACTGTAAACCGCATTCAGCCTGTTAAGGGCTGAAAAATGCGGTATAAAAATGAAGCAAATAAATAAATAAATAAATAAATAAATAAATAAATAAATAAACAGTTTAAATAATGTATCAGTAAGGTCTTTTCGCAGACCACCATGAGAATTTTGGGGGGGGGGGGGTTGAAGCCCCCCAAGCTCCCCCCCTGGCTACATGCCTGACTGGAAGTAATGTATTTCCATTGTTGTTGGGATGGTGAGTCCGAGGCTGCATTTTATTTATTTATTTATAATTCAAACTTATATGCCGCCACTCCCCTGGAGTTCGGAGTAACTTACAAGAACAGGCTAAAATCTAACACAATTTAAAAACAATTTAAAACAATTTAAAAACAACAATATCAGAGATCAAAGGCCTGTCGAAACAGATATGTCTTACATGCCCTGCGAAAAGCTGATAGGTCCCGCAAGGCACGGACTTCAGGTGGCAGAGTGTTCCAGAGTGATGGTGCCACTGCTGTAAAGGCTCTGCGTCTGGTTGCTGTTAGATGCAAGGTCTTGACACTGGAAATTTCCAATAGATCTTGGTCCTCAGAATGGTGAGATCTCTGGGGTTGGTAGGGGATGAGGTAGTCCCTCAGGTACATTGGCCCCAGACCATGCAAGGCCTTAAAGCTGAGTACTATCACTTTGAAAGTGATCCGGTGCTTAATTGGTAACCAATGCAGCTGTAGTAAGATTTCTGTGTCATCTCATCGGAATTCCCGCAAGAAGCCGAGCAGCTGCATTTTGTACCAACTTGAGCTTCCGGATCACCGACAGAGGAAGGCCAATGTAGAGGGCGTTACAGTAGTCCAGTCTTGAGATGACCGTAGCCTGGATCACCGTAGCTAGGTCGTCCCTGGACAGGTAGGGGGCCAGCCGTCTAGCCTGCCACAGATGAAAAAAGGCGGTTCTGCTAACGGTGGAGACCTGGGCCTCCATCGTCAGCAGAGGGTCCAAAAGGACTCCCAGACTCTTTACCAATGATGACGGGTGTAGCGCCTCGCCATCCAGGGTAAGCAGCTGGATATCCCCACTGCCCTGTCGACCCAGCCATAGGATCTCTGTCTTTGCTGGAGTCATCCTCAACCTGCTGGCACACAGCCATCCAGTAACGGCCTCGAGGCACTGATGAAAATAATCGGGTACAGATGAAAATAATCGGGTCTGCCCTCCATCCTCAGCACTAACTGAATGTCATCAGCATACTGGTAACACTCCAGCCCAAAACCTCGAACCAGCTGAGCAAGTGGTTGCATATAGATGTTAAACAACAGAGGAGAGAGAATTTTGCATCTATTACAGTGCCTAGCAAAATTGTTGCATAAGGAGGTACTGGATGCCTCTTCCACAATGTCAGAATAAGTAGTGACACTAGCATAAGTCACAAGGCAATACTGGTTTGGGCTACCCTACTTCATACCATAACTTCTCATCAATAATACAAAATTTCTTCCCGCTATAATACAGGAACTGCAAGGCAATTATAAGTCCTGTCCATGAGAAATTATTTCAGCAGTACTAGTCCTGGGGTATCTGAGAAGGGAGTTTGTTGCATAGTCTTATTTCCACATTCTTCTCTTCTTCATGCACCTCTTTCCTCCAACGAAAACACCTGAAGCAATGGTGCCGCAAGCTGTCAGTCAGGGCAGCATAAACCAGTGGATGGATGCAGATGTGGAAGTTGACCAAGATCTTGGCCATCTGGTAGAAATCGTAGACCAAAACATTGCAATTCTTTGGCGTACGATTTTGAAGGTTCTCGTGCATACGGTTGTGCAGGTTCAGGTTGCGTAAAACATGAAAAGGCAGGTAGAAAAGGGCATAGAGGACCACCACTATGCCAACCAGGGTCTTCACTTTCCATTTTTCCTCTGCTGTGAGACTGTGGCTATGGATGACTGCGCAGACAATGGCCACACAGGAAAAGGCAGTCAGGAGAAAGGGCAACCCGCACCCAAAAGCTGCCAGGAACAGGCTGTAGGGCCAGTACTTGGGCAGCTCTGCCCTGGATGCGCTTCCCAGACAGATCATTCTGTTGTTGTTTTCAGAGGCATTTTCAAGGGCGGAAAAGGTAAAAACAGGTGCTGAGATGGCCATCACCAGTAACCACACTGCCCCACTGACAAGCTTTGCATGGCGAGGCTCCAAGCGGCCGTGGGCAAAGAAAGGGTGGACAATGGCAACGTAACGGTTCAGGCTGATGCAGGCGACAAAAAATGTGCTACCATAAAGGTTGCAGAAGAAGAGGAAGCGGTCCAGTTTGCAGAAGACAGCACCGTATTTCCAGTCCTTGGGAGGGTAATAATAAGATGCTATGGGTAACAATGAGAAGGCGCAAAGGAGGTCACTGACAGTCAAGTTGAAGGCATAGACGATGCCAGTGTGCCACTGACGTTCTCCAACGACAAAGCGGTAGATGGCAAAGCCATTCCCAGCAACAGCCAAAACCGACTGGAGAACAAAAAGATACCATATATCTTCTTGGAACTTGTCCAATCGTGGTCTGCAGTTTGTGGTCCCATTGGTGGTCTGCTCCAGAATGGACATCCTGGGGAAAGGAGAAAGTAAGATTCAAATCTTCCACCATCTTAATGCCAAGTTTGTTGGAGCATGTAAAAGTCAGATAGTGAGTGTGTTAACTGAAAAATACAAGGAACTAGGGAGATTGGTTGGGCTATGCCTGGGATGCTAGCTGAGCCTGGGACTTTTGGCAACAGTTACATGTTTATGTTTTCTGTGCAGAAGCTTGCCAAGACAAGTTAGTATGTTTTAATGCTTCCGAGCTGTTGGAAGGAGATTCTTCATATGGACACCTAAGGACCATTTGAATCTATTTATTTATTTATTTATTTCGAACATTTTTACCCCACCCTTCTCAACCCCTAGGGCAGTGGTTCTCAACCTTCCTAATGCCGTGACCCCTTAATACAGTCCCTCATGTTGTGGTGACCCCCAACCATAACATTGTTTTTATTGCTACTTCATAACAGTCATTTTACTACTGTTATAAACCATAATGTAAATATCAGATATGCAAGATGTATTTTCATTCACTGGATCAAACTGGGCACAAATACCCAATGCAACCACATGTAAATGCTAGTAGGGTTGGGGGAGGATTGATTTTGTAATTTGGGAGTTGTAGTTGCTGGGATTTATAGTTCACCTATAATCAAAGAGCATTCTGAACTGCAACAGCAATGGATTTGAACCTAATTTGCCACACAGAACTCCCATGACCAACGGAAAACACTGGAAGGGTTTGGTGGGTATTGACCTTGAGTTTGGGAGTTGTAGTTCACCTATATCCAGAGAGCACTGTGGACTCACGCAGTGGTGGATCTGGACCAAACTTGCAGTTTCTCAAGTTGTTCCTGACATGAAAATAAAACTCAAAAACATTATATCCTTCATAGCACTTTCACGTTTGTTTGACTTAGGGAAGAAAGAGCTTCTAAGCAAAGCACATTATACACGAGGATAAGCACATATATACTTATCCTCATGTATAAGTCAAGGGCAAGTTTTGGGGCAATAACTATGGGTTTGATACCATCCATGGATAAGTCGGGGGTCATTCTCAGTAGAGGCAAAATCTGCAGTGCTCCACTCCCTCAGTTATACTTGTTCAACGTCACTGGAGGGACATAAAAAAATTGACCTATTTAGTCACATTTTTTTAAACCCTTGGTTTCAAATAGCTTCATCTGTTATGCATTGCCTTAGGAGCCTTAGTGGGGTGAAAGTTGATAAATTATATAAAGTATTATATAAATTTCCTAGCCATCCCCTGCCACGCGTTGCTGTGGCCCAGTCTAGTGATCTGGAAAATAAAGTAATGAGAAAGTATTGGTTTCTAATATATGTAATTTCTTTATGTTTGTGGGTAAACAGTATTTCTTGATGTTTCTTTGTCAGTGTTGATGTGGAGATTGTCTGGGTTGCCAACTCAGGAACATGCAACATATAATTGTCCTTCTTTAGGGGTCCCTTTCAAATCTATGATACTATATATCTCTCTCTCTGTGTGTGAATCATATATATCTATATCTATGGCTGGATGGCTCTTTGATTGCGTTTTCTTGCCTTGGTGAAGGGAGTTGGACTGGATGGCCTTAAGTATGGGGGTTCTGTGTGGGAGATTTGGCCCAATTCCGTCGTTGGTGGGGTTCGGAATGCTCTGTAATTGTAGGTGAGCAGCTACAACTCCCAAATGTCAAGGTTCTATTTTCCCCAAACTTCATCTGTGTTCATATTTGGGCATATGGAATATTTGTGCCCAGTTTGGTCCAGATCCATCATTGTTTGTGTTCACAGTGATCTCTGGATGTAGGTGAACTACAACTCCAAAACCAAAGGAGTTGGTTACAACTGCCCACCAAACCCTTCCAGTATTTTCTGTTGGTCATGGGAAAACTGTGTGCCAAGTTTGGTTCAACTCCATTATTGGTGGCGTTCAGAATGCTCTTGGATTGCAGGTGAACTATAAATCCCTGCAACTACAACTCCCAAAGGACAAAAATCAAGTTTTTTGAGTGAAGGACATACATTGGGTTGTTAGGTGTCTTGTGTCCAAATTTGGTGTCAATTCCCCCAGTGGTTTTTGAGTTATGTTAATCCCACAAACAAACATTACATTTTTATTTATATAGATTATATAAATTTATATAAACAGTTAGCTAAAATGTGCTATGTTTTCAGGTCCTTTTAGTGGGTTCCTGTTAATCCAATTCATTAAATAATAATAAATGATGACGATAATATTTACATCCAGGCTTTTTCACAATTTGAGACTCAATTACGTTTTACGGCAGATTAAAATAAACAGTTCAGTGGGTTGTTGTAGGTTTTTTCGAGCTGTATGGCCATGGTCTAGAGGCATTCTCTCCTGACGTTTCGCCTGCATCTATGGCAAGCATCCTCAGAGGTAGTGAGGTCTGTTGGAACTAGGACAATGGGTTTATATATCTGTGGAATGACCAGGGTGGGACAAAGAACTCTTGTCTGCTGGAGCTAGGTGTGAATGTTTCAACTGATCACCTTGAATTAGCACTTGATTGCCTGGCAGTGCCTGGAGCAATCTTTTGTTGAGAGGTAATTAGATGTAAATGGGATGTAATTAGAGGTAAATAAACAAATAAATAAATGTATTTATTTACAACATTTCTACCCCGCCCTTCTCAACATCTGAGGGGGGACTCAGAGCGGCTAACACTGGCAACAATTCGATGCCGCAATATCACAATATAACAATATAAAACCATAAAATACACAATAGATAAAAAAAAATTAAAATAGCTCCAGCAGACAAAAGTCCTTTGTCCCACCATTTTGGTTGTGTCAGGAGTAACTCCTGGTGTGAGAGAATTGGCCGTCTGCAAGGACGTTGCCCAGGGGACCCCTGGATGATTTGATGTTTATCATCCTTGCGGGCGGCTTCTCTCATGTCCCCGCATGAGGAGCTGGAGCTGATAGAGGGAGCTCATCCGCCTCTCCCCAGATTCGAACCTGCGACCAGTCGGTCTTCAGTCCTGCCGGCACAGGGGTTTAATTCACTGCACCACCGAGATTTTCCCAGGCTCAGGCAGGCCTTCAAATGCTAATGAAGGTGATCAGCTGAAACATTCACACCTAGCTCCAGCAGGGAAGAGCTCCTTGCCCCACCCCAGCCATTCCACAGATATATAAACCCTTTTTCCTAGTTCCAACAGACCTCACTACCTCTGAGGATGCTTGCCATAGATGCAGGCGAAACGTCAGGAGAGAATGCCTCTAGACCATGGCCATACAGCCCGAAAAAACCTACAACAACCCAGTGATTCCAGCCATGAAAGCCTTTGACAATACATAAACAGTTCACTTTTGCAAAATACAAAAGTTTAAAAGTTGTTCTGGAGGAATCAGTAACACATTAAGGCATTACAAGTTAAGTTTAGCTAGATATTTCCACACTTTGGAGGAAATTATGACTGTATTCTGCTTAATTATGCTATTAAAATATGGCCCCAACATACATACATACATACATACCTCTGAGTGATTTCCCAGATCTTTCTTCGGTGCACAGCTAAGGCACCTTGGATTTTTCTGCTCTTGCTAGAGAAGTGACCATATCCGGGATCAGACGAGCAAATGGGGAAGTGGCCTAGACAACGAGTAGCTAAATAAAAACTGGAATGAAGTCTCTTGCCCCACAAAGGGCCACCTCTTGTAGTTGTTAACACGTGAATGTCTGCTTACAAGCCACGAGCAACTTCAAGGCAACTGCCGTGAACATCTTACAAAGGAAAGGGCAGAATGGAAAGAAAATGAGCAAAGCGACGGCAGGGAGGAGTGCAGGCTGACATTTGTCAATGTGGGACAGGATGACGAGTGTGGTACTGAGAGTCTACACCTCAAAGCGACTCAGCCTTTTTCAACTGAAAGTACATCACAACCTCCTTGGAGAAGCAAATACTGACGGGCGTGTGACATGGAATGAATCAGTTCTGAGCATTACTTTAGAAAATCTGGGTTAAACCCTTGTGCCGGCAAGACTGAAGACCGACAGGTCGCAGGTTTGAATCAGGGGAGAACGCGGATGAGCTCCCTTTGTCAGCTCCAGCTCTAACATGAGAGAAGCCTGCCTCAAGGATGGAAAAACATCAAAACATCTGGGCGTCCCCTGGGCAACGTCCTTGCAGATGGCCAATTCTCTCACACCAGAAGCGATTTGCAGTTTCTCAAGTCACTCCTGACACGAAAATGAAATAGTAAGCTCCCAGAATCCCCTTGAATTTGCTGATGGTGGAAATTTGGGGCAGTGTAGTTCAGTACAGAATCTGTTACCAAGCTCTGGTTCCTGACTACAAAGAAGCTGACATCTGCTTAGCCTCAACCCAAGGGTCCTCTACCTGCGTCACTCGCCAGATCATGTTGTTCAATCGTTCAGTCACTTCTGACTCTTCGTGACCTCATGGACCAGCCCACGCCAGAGCTCCCTGTCGGCCGTCACCACCCCCAGCTCCAGGAGCCCCCAGTGGTGCAGTGGGTTAAACCCCTGTGCTGGCAGGATTGAAGACCGACAGGTCGCAGGTTCAAATCCGGGGAGAGGCGGGTGAGCTCCCTCTATCAGCTCCAGCTCCTCATGCGGGGACATGAGAGAAGCCTTCCACAAGGATGATAAAACATCAAAAAATCATCCAGGTGTCCCTTGGGCAACGTCCTTGCAGACGGCCAATTCTCTCACAACAGGACACTCCTGACACGACAAAAAACAAAAACAAAAAAACCCAGCTCCTTCAAAGTCAATCCAGTCACTTCAAGGATGCCATCCATCCATCTTGCCCTTGGTTGCCCCCTCTTCCTTTTTCCTTCCATTTCCCCCAGCATCATTGTCTTCTCTCAGCTTTCCTGTCTTCTCATGATGTGGCCAAAGTACTTCATCTTGGCCTCTACTATCCTTCCCTCCAGTGAGCAGTCAGGCTTTATTTCCTGAAATATGGACTGGTTGGATCTTCTCGCAGTTCAAGGCACTCTCAGAACTTTCCTCCAACACCACCGTTCAAAAGCATCTATCTTCCTTTGCTCAACCTTCCCTAAGGACCTTTTCCCTACAGGTGTTGGCTATTTGTTTGAATTCTACTTTGGTGATTTCTCCCTTTTTCCACTTCTTGTGCATGTTTCTTTTGTGTTTTAGCACAGTTAGAAGTTCTTTGGACATCAATTCTGGCTTCTTTGCACTTGTCCTATTTTTTCTCTTTGTTGGCACAGTTTGCAATTGCACCTTGAGTATTTCACTCTTGAGAAATTCCCATCCATCCGTAACTCCCTTGTCTTTAGTATAGCTGCTCTGGTTGCTTCTGGATCCCTGTTTGGGTATTAGCCAGCACGTCAACGACTTAAATCTAGAAATAGTTTTCTAAGATCTACAGAGACACTAGCTGGAACAGCTCAGCAAGCGAGAGTCCAAAAGTGGCAGGCTCAAACCCAGAACCTCAATCAATGGCTGATACCAAATGAGAGACTCCCCCCTGGGCACACAGAAAACTGGGCGACTTGGAAGGTGCTGAACAGACTGCACTCTGGCACGAGATGCAGAGCCAACCTTCAGAAATGGGGCTACAAAGTGGAATCCTCGATATGCGAATGTGGAGAGGAGCAAACCTACTGACCACCTGCTGCAATGCACCCTGAGCCCTGCCACATGCACAATGGAGGACCTTCTTGCAGCAACACCAGAAGCACTCCAAGTGGCCAGATACTGGTCAAAGGACATTTAATCAACTACCAAACTCACAAATTTTGTATTTTGTCTGTTTGTTTGCTTTGTTCTGTTAGAAATGTAATATAATTGACTGGCTGCCCTGACACGACAAATAAATAAATCTCATGGTTACACAACTGGGAATTTGAAATCCCTACCACTGGCTTTCTGTCTTCTCATGATGTGGCCAAAATACTTCATCTTTGCCTCTAATATCCTTCTCTCCAATGAGCAGCCGTGTTTTATTTCCTGAAGTATGGACTGGTTGGATCTTCTCGCAGTCCAAGGCACTCTCAGAACTTTCCTCCAACACCACAGTTCAAAAGCATCTATCTTCCTTTGCTCAGCCTTCCCTAAGGACCTTTTCCATACAGGGAATTCTACTTTGGTGATTTCTCCCTTTTTCCACTTCTTGTGCATGTCTCTTTTGTGTTTTAGCACAGTTAGAAGTTCTTTGGACATCAATTCTGGCTTCTTTGCACTTGTCCTATTTTTTCTCTTTGTTGGCACAGTTTGCAATTGCGCCTTGAGTATTTCACTCTTGAGAAATTCCCATCCATCCGTAACTCCCTTGTCTTTAGTATAGCTGCTTAGCTTCATGTAACAGCTATCCCTTGCCCAAACCTAGATCTGGACTTAATCATGACTCTAACCTGAGCTCTGGTCCTAATTCTACCACCAATCCCAGTCCTAACATTAACTGCTGCCTTCAATGGTGTGGAAGAGTCCACTTTGAGGTCTTGGAATGTAAATGCGTGCTTTGGCAAAACTCCAAATGAAACAATATCTAGAGATCAATTCTGCATCCTGACCCAACTCCCCACCCACTACGTCCCCTCGACATCACTTGGGGAATGGCACAGTAAGCTGTATTTGACAAATAAGACACAGGCATTTCTAAATAGATGGCCCTTGCAACATAATGGGGAACTTGGCTTTGACCACATCCTGAACTTAATCTGAATGAAGGTCAGCTTTCTTTGAAAAATGGGTGATGTAGCAAGTCAGAAGGTCCTGCACAAGTCCACATACAGCTTATTTACTGCATAGCTTATTTACGGTATAGCGAGATTTGAATAAATCTATCCTAGTATGGTAAAGCTGTCCCACCTAAGTGCAGAAACCACACAGGAAATTCAGCTTTGCATAAACTACAGGGCTTTAAAAAGACAGCTTCCAGCCCCTGCTATTGTTTGCTGCACTTGGAAACGTGAGAGCACTCAATGACTTGCCTTATGGTTGAGACACCATTTCCTCCCCGCCCCAATATTTCTCTTCAATCTTTTAAAAACATCTAAAATGTTTTTAGTGTGGAACACATCTCACCACGCTAAAACAGTAGATGTGGCTCTTAATGAGACATGCCGCATTATCACGGGGTGTCTGCGCCCTACACCACTGGAGAAATTATACTGTTTAACCGGTATTGAACCACCTGACATCCGCCGGGAAGTAGCAGCCAATAGTGAAAGGACCAAGCCAGTGACATCTCCGGCCCATCCTCTGTTCGGGTATCAGCCAGCATGCCAACAACTTAAATCAAGAAATATTTTTCTAAGATCTCCAGAGATACTTGCTGGAACACCTCAGCAAGCGAGAGTCCAAAAGTGGCAGGCTCAAACCCAGAACCTCAATCAATGGCTGATACCAAATGAAAGACTCCCCCCTGAACACACAGAAAACTGGGCGACTTGGAAGGTGCTGAACACTGTGCTCTGGCACCACGAGATGCAGAGCCAACCTTAAGAAATGGGGCTACAAAGTGGAATCCACGACATGCGAGTGCGGAGAGGAGCAAACCACTGACCACCTGCTGCAATGCAACCTGAGCCCAGCCACATGCACAATGGAGGACCTTCTTGCAGCAACACCAGAAGCACTCCAAGTGGCCAGATACTGGTCAAAGGACATTTAATCAGCTACCAAACTCACACATTTTGTATTTTCTCTGTTTGTTTGCTTTGTTCTGTTAGAAATGTAATATAATTGACTGGCTGCCCTGACACGAGAAAAAATATATATCAAGAAATAGTTTTCTAAGATCTACAGAGACACTCGCTTTAACACCTCAGCAAGCGAGAGTCCAAAAGTGGCAGGCTCAAACCCAGAACCTCAATGAATGGCTGATACCAAATGAGACTTCCCCCTGGGCACACAGAAGACTGGGAGACTTGGAAGGTGCTGAACAGACTGCGCTCTGGCACCACAAGATGCAGAGCCAACCTTAAGAAATGGGGCCACAAAGTGGAATCCACGACATGTGAGTGCAGAGAAGAGCAAACCATAGACTGCAATGCACCCTGAGCCCTGCCACATGCACAATGGAGGACCTTCTTGCAGCAACACCAGAGGCACTCCAAGTGGCCAGCTACTGGTCAAAGGACATTTAATCAACTACCAAGCTTGCAAACTTTGTGTTTTGTTTGTTTGTCTGTTTTTTAATGCAATACAACTGGTTTAGTTCGCTCCTGACACGATAAATAAATAAATAATCTAAAATATTCTACATCTTATGATGCAAAGGAGGCTTACAAGTATTAATATATTGCTTGCTGAAGTCTCATGAATTACTATATATATTATATTGCGCATTATATTATATTATATTGCGCATGCTCGTGTAGATGTCCAGCAATTGTAAATTTAAAAATCAGTAGAAAAACTCTGAGCCAACTTATCTAAGTGAATCTAAGTACTGTACTATATGCTTAGACAAAAAAAATTAGGAACCATCCCCTCTTTCCTGTCTTCTCATTATGTGGTAATATCCTTCCCTCCAGTGAGCAGTCCGGCTTTATTTTCTGGAGTATGGACTGGTTTGATCTTCTTGCAGTCCAAGGCACTCTCAGAATTTTCCTCCAACAAGATTGTAAGTGTAGGCTATAGAATCACTGCAAGATGGGATCGTAGGCAAAGAGTGGTCATCCAAGCGTTGCTGAAGTACACAACAAAAAAGGCCACAGTACAGCATAAAATACTAGTTTATCATTCAAAAACAAAAGGAAATATATGTAATACTAGCTGTCCCCTGCCACGCGTTGCTGTGGCCCAGTCTGATGATCTGGAAAATAAAGTAATGAGAAAGTGTTGGTTTCTAATATATGTAATTCCTTTATGCTTGTGAGTAAACAGTATTTCTTGTTGTTTCGTCAGTGTTGATGTGGAGAGTGCCTGGTTTGCCTACTCTGGAATATGCAACATATCATAGTCCTTCTTTAAGGGTCTCTTTCAAATCTAGGATACTATATCTGTGTGTGAGAGAGAATCATATATCTATCTACCTATCTACCTACCTATCTACCTACCTATCATCCATCCATCCATCTATCTATCTATCTATATTTATGTCTGGATGGCTCTTTGTCAGGAGGGCTCTGATTACATTTTCTTGCCCTGGTGAAGAGAGTTGGACTGGATGGCCTTAAGTATTTTCTGTTGGTCATGGGGGTTCTGTGTGGGAAGGTTGCCCCATTTCTGTCGTTTGTGGGTTTCAGAATGCTCTTTAATTGTAGTGAACTATATATCCCAGTAACTACAAATCCCAAATGTCAAGGTCTATTTCCTCCAAACTCCATATTTAGGCATATGGAATTTTTGTGTCAAGTTTGGTCCAGATCCGTCATTATTTGAGTCAACAATGCTCTCTAGATGTAGGTGAACTACAACTCCCAAACTCAAGGTCAATGACCACCAAACCCTTCCAGTGTGTTCTGTTGGTCATGGAAGTACTGTATGCCATGTTTGGTTCAATTCCATCATTGGTGGAGTTCAGAATGCTCTTTGATTGTAGGTGAACTATAAATCCCAGCAACTACAACTCCCAAATGTCAAGGTCTATTTCCCTTAAACTCCATCTGTGGTCATATTTGGGCATGTGGAATATCCGTGCCAAGTTTGGTCCAGATCCATCATTGTTTGAGTCCACAGTGCTCTCTGGATGTGGGTGAACTATAATTCCCAAACTCAAGGTCCACCAAATCCTTCCAGTTTTTTGTTGGTCATGGGAGCCCTGTGTGCTAAGTTTGGCCCAACTCCATCATTGGTGGAGTTCAGAATGCTCTTTGATTGTAGGTAAACTATATATCCCAGCAACAATTCCCAAATGACAAAATCATTTTTTTTAGTGGAGGACATATATTGGGTTGTTAGGTGTCTTGTGTCCAAATTTGGTGTCAATTCCCCCAGTGGTTTTTGAGTTCTGATGGTATCACAAACGAACATTACATTTTTATTTATATAAACAAATGTAATTGAATATCTATTAACTGGATTAGCCAATCTTATATACACACAGTCTGACCCATATTACCAAGGCAGACAGCTATTTATTCTAGAGTGCATGTGTATTCCTGGACAGCTAACATGTATAAAGGGCCAAGCGAAAGAGAGCCCGGTTACGATGTTTGTCTTTTCTTCCCTGAATGTCCCGGCTTCCGGAAGCCTCCTTTCCCCTTCTGCACCAGCTTCCTTCCCAGTCCTGCCTTGCCCTGCCATCGGCCTCCCAAAGGCCTTGAGGAGCCCCGTGCCTGCTGTTTACTTCTGTGCTGCCCCTTGTGCTTGGGACTCTGGGACCCTCCGTGCTGCCCCCTTGTGTCCCTCTGCCGCTGCCTTGGGCCCCCCTTATTCCGCTTGTCTCGCTGCTGCTGCTGCCGCCCAAGCCATGGAGTTTTCTTCCTCTGATTCAACCTGGAGGTAGTTCCCGAAGGGGTTGGGCTTTTGCCACGTTCAGAGGGGGAGTGTTTCCGTCTTTTTCTGGCTGGGGTAGACTGGTTGGCCCGTTTCCTCTTAGCACTTTGTGGGAACAGATCTGGAGAGAGGAAGGCACAGTAATGAATGTCTTACCAGCTTTGGTATAGATTCCAAGTGACCAAGTTCCACACAAGGCCACTACTGAGAAGACAATCACAACACAGCATATACTATACTCACACGTCAGAGGTCAACCCTCCTGTTTAAGGAGCTCCATTGGCTGCCATTCATTTTCCAGTCCCAATTCAAGGTGCAGGTGCTTACCTACAAAGCCCTAAACGGTTTGGGACCCACCTAGCTGCGTGACCGCATCTCCGTATATGAACCCACACGATCTCTCCAATCATCTGGAGAGGCCCTGCTCATGATCCCACCTGCGTTGCAAGCACGGTTGGTGGGGACGAGAGACAGGACCTTCTCCGTGGTGGCCCCCCCACTCTGGAACTCTCGCCCCAAGGATATCAGACAAGCCCCAACATTGGCAGTCTTTAGGAAGAGCTTGAAGATGTGGTTGTTCCAGTGTGCCTTCCAAGAATTGGAAACTCCTAGCATCATGTCCCAAATGCACTTTACTAGAGATTTAAGATTGTCTGCACACCGCACCTATCTCCAAAAACCTATCCATCTCACCTGTCATGTTCAGCATTTTAAAATTTTAATCATTACATTTGGCCCGGCCTTAGTTTTAAATGTGTCATGGTGTTATTGTCTAATGTGTATTGCTATTGTTTTTAATGTTTATTGCTTGTTTTATGAGTTTATTTATTGCTGTATTTGTTATGCTGTTGTTTTATTGATGTGTTGGGCCTCGGCCTCTTGTAAGCCGCACCGAGTCCTTCAGGAGATGTTAGCGGGGTATAAATAAAGGATTATTATTATTATTATTATTATTATTATTATTATTATTATTATTACTACTACAGCCACTGTACCTAAACCAGGACCTGCAGTTTCACCTATCTGCACTAAAGAAAATGTTCCCTCTCTATGAATTTTCTTGATCTTCCAGATTATTTCATGGTATGCTTCCTCTGCAAGTTACCATAGAGTCGACTTGGTGGATCTTGCAAATTGCTAGAGGAGATAATCTCCTAGGAATTTCACAGATCAGGGGTCCCCAAACTAAGACCCACAGGCCAGATGCGGCCACCAAGGTCATTTACCAAGGTCTGAAACACACCGAAGGCACAACAACAACAACAACACTTTATTTGTACCCCACTACCATCTCCCCAAGGGACTCGGTGTGGCTTACATGAGGCCAAGCCCAAATACAACAATACAAGCAATAATAACAACAATACAAGCAATAAAAAAAATGGACAATAAGATATGCAACATTAACAATAAGACAACACACAATTAAAACTGTGGGAAGGCCAAATGTAAAATTAAAATTGAAAATAATGCTGGGGCATGGGCGAAAAGGTGGTAGTGGCGTTTGTGGAAAACATACAAGCAGACTTAAAATGTAAAGTGCTTCGGAGGACAAAGTGCTATGGGATCTTTACTCTGGGAAGGCACACTGGAACAACCACGTCTTCAAGCTCCTCCTAAAGACTGCCAGAGTTGGGGCCTGCCTGATGTCCCTAGGAAGTGAGTTCCAGAGTCGAGGGGCCACCACCGAAAAGGCCCTCTCTCTCGTCCCCACCAAGTGTGCCTGCAATGCTGGTGGGATCGAGAGCAGGGCCTCTCCAGATGATCGAATTAACCTGACTATCCCATCAGCCAAAAACCGGCCCCAACTTTATTTATTATTATTTATTTACAGTATTTATATTCCGCCCTTCTCACCCCGCAGGGGACTCAGGGCGGATTACAATGTACACATATATGGCAAACATTCAATGCCAAAGACACACAACAGATATAGACAGACAGTCAGGGGTTATTTAACTGGCCGCCAGGGGAGCTGTCGCTTTCATCGTCCATCTGCGATACTTCCGCATTCCCCGCATGCTTTTGCTGGAGTGCTTTGCTGCCGTCTTTTTTATGGCCTCGTAAATTAGTTAAATTAGCCTCCCCACACTTAGGTGGTACCTAATTTTCCTACTTGCCAGATGCAACTGTCTTCCGGCTTGCAAAGGTTGACAACAAGCTACACAATTGGTCGGAAGCTCACTCTGACCCAGGCTGGCTTCGAACTCATGACCATTTGGTCAGAAGTGATCTTAATGCAGCTGACACTCAGCCAGCTGCGCCACAGTCCCGGTTGAAAGACTGGTAAGCTTATGTTGGTTAACATTGTTTTTCGTTTTAAACATTGTATTGCCTTTTCATGCTTTTTTGCACTATAAATAAGGTATGTTTGGGGTGCATAGGAATTCATTCATGTTTTTTTCAAACTATAGTCCGGCCCCTCAACATTCAGAGGGACTATGAACTGGCCCATTGCTTTAAAAGTTTGCAAAACTGTCTCAGGTCCTCTAGGACAGAAGTGTTAAATCTGTGGCGCTCTTGGTGTTTTGGACTTCAACTCCCAGAATTCCTTGCCATTGCGCAAGCTGGCTAGGGCTTCTGGAATTATTGTTTTTACTTTGTATGTTTTGTGATTTTTACCTGGGAACCGCTCTGAGTCCCTTCGGGGAGATAGAGTGGCATATATAAATAAAGTTTATTATTATTATTATTATTATTATTATTATTATTATTATTATTATTATTATTATTATTATTATTATTGGAGGCCCAATCATTGGAGGGCCACAAGTTCAACACCTCTGCTCTTGGGTAGTTCAATGGTAACTTGCTTATTTCAATAGGGTTCACTATTATCTGCAGTTTCCTGTTTCTATGGAATATTTATTTATTTACTTACTGTATTTGTATACCGCCTTTCTCAGTCCGTAGGCGACTCAAGGTGGTTAACAGGGCAAAATTCAATGCTTACAATGTCATAAATACAATTAAAAACATAACATATAATAATAAGTAAACAAATCAATAAAATATAAATTCATAGTGTCTCCTTGTTAGAAACGTTGTCCGGACTCATTGTCTAGTTCAGGGGTCCTCAAACTAAGGCCCGGGGGCCAAATGCGGCCCTCCAAGATCATTTACCCGGCCCTTGCTCAGGGTCAACCTAAGTCTAAAATGATGACGACGACAACAACAACAACAACAACAACAACAACAACAACAAAGCAGGTCCACACTTCCCATTAAAATACTAATAACTTTATATTTGTCAAAATTGTTCTTCATTTTAATTATTGTATTGTTTAAAGTGTTTTTTGCACTACAAATAAAATATGTGCAGTGTGCATAGGAATTCATTCATGGTTTTTTTTCAAATTATAATCCAGGCCTTCAACCTGACCCTCTATTTAAAAAAATTGGGGACCCCTGGTCTAGTTGTTCCATTTTCATATGTCAGTTACTCTGCATTTGCAAACACTTCTTCAAAAAGCCACGTCTTAACTTTTTTCCGGAATGTTAAAAGAGAGGGAACGGAGGGCATTCCACAGCCGAGGGGCCACCACCGAGAAGGCCCTGTCTCTCGTCACCACCAAACGTACTTGTATGAAGGCGGTAACGAGAGCAGGGCATCCCCAGATGATGTTAACGTCCTAGATGGTTCATAAGGGGAGATGCATTCAGACATGTAAGTTGGGCCAGAACCGTTTAGGGCTTTATAGGCTAAAGCCAGCACTTTGAATTGTGCCCGGTAGCACAAGTCATGCTGTAATTGTGATACTGAATCCATACTCAAGTGGGAGATAATACAAGCAGGTGCCAGGGGGATGCATCAGAGCGTTTACTTTGCAAGAATCACAGCTCAGAATCAGGAGTGCAAAGATTTTTCATCAACTGCATCCAGCACTTTCCCCCCAGATTAAGGACATACCAACCTTCATCAGGCTCTTCTCCCACTTCCTGTCGGTAATATTCCATGTCATCATCTGATGCTTCCTCGGCATTCTGACCTTCTTGCATCCCAGGATCCTCTGCGTCGCTGTCACCTCCTTCCGCTTGCTTCTTCTTCTTCTTTATCCCTTCCAGGCTCTTCTTCCTAGGGCCCCCAATCACAAACACAGTGACAAATGGCTAGACCGAGTCCCACCCTCCTGTTGCTGCTATGCAAAGTACCACAAATTCCTCCTGCTAGTGGAGGGCATGTTGGGACTTTTGTAGCCACTGATTTTGTTTATCCGCTCACCCACCTGTGAGCCTCCTTCTGCTCCTGCTTGTGTGCCACATCTGTCTCCTGCTTCCGCCGTCGCTCAGCCTTGAGCTGTAGTTTTTTTTCTTTCCTGGCCAAAGTTTCTTGGATTTCTTCCTCAGTCTTGTGAACTGGGACACAGGGACAAGAAACAAAGCAGACCATTTCTTAGGACAGGGGGAAAAAATGACCCAATCAGACCCTTCATTTATTTTTGCAAGCTCTCAAGCACCAGCGGGGACATAGACACATTGGTTTCCCATAACTACCATTAGTATTTCTATCCCAGATCATTCTAAACCCGGGAATGTTCAAGTTTTCAAACTGCAATCCAAGACATAGGAAGCTGTCTTGGACTCTTCAGATAATCTAGTTCATCTCAGCATTATGTATACAATTTTTTTCAATTTAATGATCTGTGGATGTGTTCGACTACAACTGCCATAGACCTCAGCCAGTGTGTCCAATAGCCACATTGCTTGAGTAGAAGGAAACTGGAGTCCAACATACCGAAGATTTATGGAAAATGATTTAGTAGCATCTCAGGGCATGAGAGAGTGAAATTGGTAGTGTAAGCTTTTGTAGACAAAGACTGCTTCCTCAGATGCATGGAGTGAGGAAGTAGGGTTAGTCTAGGAAAGTTTTTGGTACCAACTTCATTTTCCAAGTTATTTATTTATTTACGGCATTTACATGCCGCTCTTCTCACCCCGAAGGGGATTCAGGGCGGCTTACAAGATATATATGCATACAATATATTACATTATTAGCATAGTACAATATCACTATTATATATAACTATATTGTACTATACGATTATATTGTAATATTATTAGTAATATTACATGTAATATAAAATATATAATTTTAATATTGTATTATAATTAGTGATATTATATTGTATTACATTATAATATTATAAATATTATATGTATATACAGTATTATATTATATAATGTATATTAGCTGTCCCCTGCCACGGGTTGCTGTGGCCCACATGGGGGTTCTGTGTGGGAGGTTTTGCCCAATTCTATCGTTGGTGGGGTTCAGAGTGCTCTGTGATTGTAGGTGAACTATAAATCTCAGCAACTACAACTCCCAAAGGTCAAGATTCAATTTTCCTCAAACTCCACCAGTGTTCACATTTGGGCATATTGAGTATTCGTATAGAGTTTGGTCCAGATCCATCATTGTTTGAGTCCACAGTGATCTCTGGATGTAGATGAACTACAACTCCAAAACCAAAGGACACTGCCCACCAAACCCTTCCAGTATTTTCCGTTAGTCATGGGAGTTCTGTGTGCCAAGTTTGGTTCAATTCCATCGTTGGTGGGGTTCAGAATGCTCTTTGATTGTAGGTGAACTATAAATCCCAGCAACTACAACTCCCAAATGACAAAATCTTTTTTTTTTTTTAGTGACGGACATACATTGGATTGTTAGGTGTCTTGTGTCCAAATTTGGTGTCAATTTGTCCAGTGGTTTTTGAGTTCTGTTAACCCCACAAATGAACATTTATATATATATATATATAATATAATATAATATACAATATTATATAAGTTAGCCTCTAAGGTACTACAAGATCCCTCTGCATACTGATATTCCAGACTAACACAGCAATGCCTACCAATTCTACATTTACAAGTTATGTTTGAGAAAACCAGTTTATGCAAACTAGGCGGAGGGCTTCCTATGGAAGGGATAAGATAGAAAATTATCCAATAAAAACACCACCCAGGTTCATGTGTTGCCTTATCAAGAGCAAATTGATGCACAAGGGTCCTCCTTTATGGTGAATGGGAGAAATTAACTGGGGGAAGAGTTCTCCAATTGGTTTCATCCACTTTTTTCTTTCTGGCTGTTCCTAACTGACTCCAAAGGAGAGAGCGTCTGCCCAGCAAAGTAGGGTTTTGCAAGCAGCCTATACAAAGAATGTAATAATCTATATAAATAAAAATGTAATGTTCATTTGTGGGATTAACATAACTCAAAAACCACTGGACGAATTGACACCAAAATTGGACACAATACACGTATCAGGCCAACGAGTGACCATTACTCATCAAAATAGTGAAAAACACAGTGGAAGAGACTTAAAAAGCTAAAAACTAAAAATACATTACAACGCATGTGCAAAACCACATAGAGTGTTCCCTCACTTATCGCAGGGGTTACGTTTCAGGACCACCCACAATAAGTGAAAATCCATGAAGTAGGGATGCTATATTGTAATATTTATACATTTTTGGATGTCATTGGGGTGGCATCGGGGCCTCTAACAGGATGCATCCCTGCATGGAACGAGGAGGTGGACAAAGTACATCCGCTTGCAGCCCGAGCCATCGACGGAATGAGCAAAAAGAAGCGACAGGATTTGAAGGGCCACACACCAGCCTCCCTTTGTGAGACCTATTGTAATGCAAATATTTTAAATTCAATTTTTTAAAAAAATCCGCGAAACAGCAAGTCCACGTAAAGCGAACCGCGAAGTAGCAAGGGAACACTGTATATACACATATACACACGCAAAACACATATACGCAGATTGGGCCACAGCAATGCATGGCAGGGGACAACTAGTAATAATAATAATCATCATCATCATCATCATCATTATTTATACCCCACCATCATCTCCCAAAATGAACTCAGGGTGCCTTACAGAAGCACATAAAAGTACCATAAATACATAAAATACAGGCAGTATCAGTTCACATAAAACAACATTACAAAAAATAAAAGACACAGAAGCATCATGGTACTCACTGAAGCTATGATAGAGGACACTGCCCTGGCTCAAACCTTCTTCTACCTTGATGAGCTGTAGTACCATTCGAGGACCAATCTAAATAGGAAGAGGCAGACAGAAACACATAAGGACAGAGACCCAAACAATGGTCCTTGAACTGGGTGCCAGGGGTAAACAGGGAACTGCCACTACCATTCCACACCATCAGAGTATCCCATCAGAAAGATTAGTACAGTTTCAAAGACCTCCTTCGCCTGTCATGTTTAGTCAGTCCCAAACTACACCCAGCATTCATATTTGAAGAGTATAGGGTCTCCTGGCTGACCTCAGTGAGGCGGACTGCACTCTGCTGAGCCTTCATGTTCCCACGTCCAGCATAGGCTTGAGGCAGTTCTGTGATGTTGTGGCTGCCATCTTGTTCAGCTTCACTCTCCGAAAGGTTGATATCTCTGTAAGGCAGGGAATGCAAGAAAATGACACAAATCCTCAGCAATGTTTCTGTTAAGCTCACCAGCAAATAAATGAGGTGTGCACAAGTAAAGAAAATACACGGCTTGCCAGCTAGCTCACAATCTCCATAAATTTGGGAACATTCAAGAAGAAATGAAGAAATGGGAGACAAAATGGGGGTGGAAATTCCACTGTGACATATCTAGGTCTCATTCCCACTGAGGACATGAGTGATCTTTACATGATGGGAAGAACATTCCGACCCCTAATGATGACTAGAAAAGTGACTTACAATGGTACAAATTGGGATGCCACCAACAGGATGCCAACGGAGTGGGAACAGAAACGTGTGCTTGGGCAAACCACACATTTCCAGCCTCAGAGGAAGGCAATGGCAAATCTCTTCTAAACAAACCCTGTGATAGGTTGTTGTAGGGTTTTCCGGGCTATATGGCCATGTTCTGGAGGCATTTTCACCTGACGTTTCGCCTGCATCTATCGGCAAGCATCCTCAGAGGTAGTGAGGTCTGTTGGAAGTAGGAAAATGGGTTTATATATCTGTGGAATGACCAGGGTGGGACAAAGGACTTCTGTCTGCTGGAGCTAAGTGTGAATGTTTCAACTGATCACCTTGATTAGCATTTAATGGCTTGGAAGTGCCTGGGGGGAATCTTTTGTTGAGAGTGATTTGATGTGATAGGGCCGCCACAGGTCAGAATTTACTTGAAGGCACACATTACCAATACATATAACTCAGAGTGGGAGGAACACTCTCCCTATTATACACCTGGCCAAAAGTTCACTGATGTCCTGCAAGCGGTTCAGGTTGGGAAATTTCTCCTGCAGGAGCTTCTTCAGCCCTTTACTCATTCCCACCGGCACCACTTTCAGACTGCTGCAAAAGACAAAAAGCGGAAAGATGCATGGTCAAGTAAACAAAAAAGACTTCAAGGATGAAGCAGAAGGGGATGCAACTCTGCGGGAAAGCACTACGTCATGAACGGATTCAATGTCTCTTTTTTGGTGCACGGATGGATGGATGGATGCATCCATCTATGGCAGGGGTCCTCAAACTGCGGCCCAGGGGCCGGATATGGCCCTCCAAGGTCATTTACCCGGCCCTCGCTCAGGGTCAACCCAAGTCTAAAACGACTTGAAAGCACACAAAACAATCCTATCTCATCAGCCAAAAGCAGGCCCGCACTTCCCATTGAAATACTACTAAGTTTATATTTGTTAAAATTGTTCTTCATTTTAATTATTGTATTGTTTTAAAGTGCGTTTTTTTTTGCACTACAAATAAGATATGTGCAGTGTGCATTGGAATTCATTCATGTTTTTTCAAATTATAATCCAGCCTTCCAACAGTTTGAGGGACTGTGACCTGGCCCTCTGTTTACAAAGTTTGAGGACCCCTGATCTATGGTTTGAAAATATTATCCCCATCCAAAAAAGAACAGCTTGATTTTATATAAGGGATAGCATTTTACTATACCATTGTACATGGTGGGGTTTAGCATCCTCAGATTGAGGCATTCAGGGGTTGAAACCCTAGTGCAGTGGTTCTGAACCTGTCGGTCCCCAGATGCTTTGGCCTTCAACTCCCAGAAATCCTAACAGCTTGTCAACTGGCTGGGATTTCTGGGAGTTGTAGGCCAAAACACTTGGGGACACAAAGGTTGAGAACCACTGCCCTAGTGGATACCAAGGACCCTTGGCACTTGAAAAGGGACTCCTAAGATAATAATAATAATAATAATAATAATAATAATAATAATAATAACAACACCAACAACTAGCCGTCCCCTGACACATGTTGCTGTGGCCCAGTCTGTTGATCTGGAAAATAAAGTAATGAGAAAGTATTGGTTTCTAATATTTCTAATTTTTTATGTTTGTGGGTAAACAGTATTTCTTGCTGTTTCTTTGTCAGTGTTGATGTGGAGAGTGTCTGGTTTGCCCACCCTGGAACATGGAACATATCATTGTCCTTTTTTAAGGGTCCCTTTCAAATCTATGATACTATATCTCTCTGTGTGTGAATCATATCTATCTATCTATCTATCTATCTATCTATCTATCTATCTATCTATATCTATGGCTGGATGGCTCTTTGTCAGGAGGGCTTTGATTACGTTTTCTTGCTCTGATGAAGGGAGTTGGACTGGATGGTCTTAAGTATTTTCTGTTGGTCATGGGGGTTCTGTGTGGGAAGTTTGTGGGGTTCAGAATGCTCTTTGATTGTAGGTGAACTGTGAATCCCAGTGACTACAACTCCCAAATGTCAAGGTCTATTTTCCCCAAACTCCATCTGTGTTTGTATTTGGGTGTATTGAGTGCTTGTATCAAGTTTGGTCCAGATCCATCATTGTTTGAGTCCACAGTGCTCTCTGGATGCAGGTGAACTACAACTCCCAAACTCAAGGCCAATGCCCACCAAACACTTCCAGTATTTTCTGTTGGTCATGGAAGAACTGTGTGCCAAGTTTGGTTCAATTCCATCATTGATGGAGTTCAAAATGCTCTTTGATTGTAGGTGAACTATAAATCCCAGCAACTACAACTGGCAAATGACAAAATCATAAATTTTTTAGTGATGGTCACTCCTTGTGTAGTGAGATGTTTTGTTGCCAAATTTGATATGATTTCGTTAATTCGTTCTTTTGTTTTTAAAATACTCATTATGCACAAAGCATTTATATATATATAGATAATAATCTTTATTTATACACCGCCACCATCTCCCCAATGGGGACTTGGGGCGGCTTACATGAGGCCAGGCCCAACAACGGAATACAATAAAATAAAAACAAAGTACAAAACAACAGCATAATAAAATACATAAAACATAAAAATACCAAAAAATACAGTAGGCGATATAAAATTACAATAAAATCATTCACAATCACCATGACAGTGAGCGGGTCGCATATACAGGATAAAATACTAAAACTAAAAACTCGGGGTGAGATAGAGATGGAGCAGATGGAGCTTGTGAGGATAAGATCTATGTTAGCAGAGCTTTTAAAAATTCTTCTTCACAAAACAATCTGAAGGTAATGACCAAATTGAAGCAACAGGAGATGACACTTTGTGCAGTATTTTATATCCTGGCTTCTCCCTTGAAGGACCCTATATGATGAAACTAGAAAGGGAGGTGACTAGGCAAACTATTTTTCCATATCAAGCCATCTGGACCCACCAATACACTCTTCCCCTGCCAATTCCTATATCAAATTGGCTTGGATGCATCAGAGTATTTGTTTCAGAGCAACATCAGAGGCATCAGTAGACTATACTCTCATCATGGGCATCCAATTCACCTATTTTCCTTTTCCTGTTATTTCATATGAAGACCATTGGTGACAGAGGAGCCTTAATGGATAGTGTGGGACTAAGGTCTGAGTTACAAACAGTTACGAAGCTCTGAAAACCTCATACCACTGTTGAAAGGATCACATGGTATAGCCTGTAGGTATATTACACTTGCACAGTACACGGTCATATACAAAAGCCTTTCTCGCCAGAGTATGCACCTCTGTAGTGGAAAATGGCAGGCATTTTTAATAAAAACATACACAGGCTTATCCATATGGCTTTGAAATTATGAACAGATATTCTTTTTAATCTGCTGTTCTGCCATTTTAACTGATTGTGTATTTTTGTGTTTTTAACAATCATGTGTCTATTTATTGTTGTATTTTAATCTGTTTTTCCTCACCTTGATCCACAGAAAGAGATGAGTAAAACACTACTACTACTACTTGTGATAGAGTCTGCTGGCAGTGATAGTAACGCTAGTTGTATTAGGAGAGGCAGGAAAACTACTCGCGAGCAAGACTATGATGAAGAGCAACAAAGGAAAAGAATCCGGGAGATACTTAGTGAACCAACAGATGAGGATTCTTTTGAAGGTTTTGATGCAAATGAACTGGATGATGGGATATCAGATTCTGGGTCTGATGGGATGGATTGGACAAGGGTTTGAGAGATTCAAGATATTTGTGCTGAACCCGCAAGCAGTGACACATTTGAGGGTTGGAATAGTGAAGACTTGGATGGGACTTGGGGACCTTCAGGATTAGACCAGAGATGGACTACTTGGAGGAGTGGTGGAAGAGGCTCAGCTGGGAATGGGTTGGGCCGAACTAGGGGCGACTCCAGTTTGGATGAGGAGCTGCAACAAGATACAGCTGGGACACGGGTGTTGGCTGAATCAAGCTCTGATGAGGACTTGTAATAAAAAGGGAGTGTTTGCTATTGTAGCCTTGCAATCGGCAAGGAGTCTTGTTGGGCGCTTTCTGGATCCTTGCTACAGAAGACGGGTTTGAAAGAAGACTTGGGACCTGCCGTATTGCCCGCTGCTTTGGCTCCTTGTGTTTACTCATCGGATTGGGACCTGACCTGGCAGCTGTTCGTCTCTGGATCGGACCGGACTGGACTTCATTCTCTGTTGTTACTCACTCTCCTCCACATCTACGCCTGAGCATCTGGAGCTGGCATTATCTACATTTCTGCATACGAGTTCCTGCTGTGTTTGAAGCTTGGGTTTCTTTTTACAACCCTTGAAAGGCTGCATTTAAGCATTTTTTGAGTTTAATTCAAGTTGTATCTCTGGTGAATCCAGATTGTATTCTGTTGGGATTTTTTGGGTTCTTTTGCCTGTTTGGGCTTTTTCACACTGTAAACTAAGTGTTTTTTGCCCTGTGAATTTGTTTTGGGCTAATTCTGTATTTGTTTTTATTATTATTATTATTATTATTATTATTATTATTATTATTATTATTAGTAGTAGTAGTAGTATGATAATGCAGTACAAACAGAAATCAATCTGAATAAGTGGATTTAGCTATAATATCCCTCCCACTAATGTACATGATCAAGTTTCAACATATTGGAATTGAAGATGATCACAGCATAAGGTAAAAGACACTCACTAGTGACGGAATTCAAGAGTCTGGCTGTCTGAATTGTAGTTGATCAGCACACAACGTTTTATGGAATTAAGGTTTACCTGGAGAGCAGGGAAAGAATGCAACACATACACCGTGAAACTAAGACACAAAACATGGCACAAGCCCCTCTGACTGCAAGCCTTGTGAAGCCTGCATTGGAGACCCTGCTGAATGTAAAGCCCTAGTAAAAGTTCTCCCCGATTTAGAAAAATACATATAGCGTTTCTAAGCAAGAGGGACTGCCCTTCCCAAAGAGGTAGAAGTACTGGTTTCAAGGCCGTGCAGCAACACAAGCATCATAAAGGAGAAAACAGCAGATATACCATCGTCTGTACAGTGAACCCTTCTTATTCACTGATGTTGGGGGCACAGAGCCCCTATGAAAGTTTAAAAATACAAATAAAGAAAGGGCTATTTTTTTTTTAACCCGGAAGAACAACTCTCTAGGATTTTCTAGGTTTTCTAGCACAACTCCATGGTCAACATCCACTAGAAGCTCAACATAGAATTGCATTGGAGAACCTAGAGAAGCGTTCTCTCTCAAAATCTCTAGGTTCTCCAGCATGACTGGAAGAAGTAGACTTTAAAGTCACACTTGAGAACCTAGAGAGAATATTTTTTTCATAAAATTTGTGAATAATCAAACTCACAAATGTAAATACCTCCAGCATCTTTGCTTTGGTCACAAAAGTTAATAATAATAATAATTAGTAGTAGTAGTACTTCTTTATTTTTCTACCCCTCTTCCATCTCCCCAAGGCGACTCGGGGCCAAGCCCAAGCAACATACAAATTAAAAGCAAACAGCAAATTACAAATTAAAATAGCGCAAACAGCATAACAGTAATAAACAAATATCAAGCAACAGCAACCCAATTTTGGAGGGGGAAAAGGCCAACATACAAATTGATTAAAGGGTAAATAATTCAATAGGGTGGATAGGAACATAAATGGCACAGGAGATATCAAGAGAACAGAGCAATTAAACAGATCAATCCCTACTGCATGTAGATCAATCATTATGTATACTACATTTGTAGTGCCTATTAAGGGTGTAATTCTGATGCATCAGTGCGTTTACTTTGAAGTGAGAATCATGGGTTGAACTCAGCAAAACACACAAATCATCATTTGCATCAGGTCAGCAGTGCACAAGAGCAGGCAAATCTGCAGGTAAACAAAGCACCAGACTACTAAGAGATGGCAAAAGAAGCCCAAGCTTGAAAAATTAAGTTAGGACTTTTAATCCAATTTTTTATTGGATTACACCAGGGTTGGGAATTCTGTAATCTTCCTGATGTTGTTGTACTTTCAGTCCCAGCAGCCCTATCCAACAGAACCAGTGATAAATTGCAGCCCAACAGACCTTACTACCTCTGAGGATGCTTGCCATAGATGCAGGCAAAACGTCAGGAGAAAATGCCTTTAGAACATGGCCATATAGCCCGAAAAAACCTACAACAACCCAATATTGAGAGGGCTGGACGATTTCCCAGCTCTGGGTTACATTAACGGTTCTCCACAAAATATGCTACATTTGCTGGAGCAGCATTGGTTGACCACTCCACCCTGCCAACAGAAAGTCAACATCGTCATAATCAGCTGCACATATATAGACAGCAATGTGACTCCCCAAGGTCGGGATACTCTGGAGAACACCTGATGAAGCCCAGCTTACAACGGGCAAGAAGTCATTTTTCCTCATAGGATGTGACCTAGATGTGTCTTTCAAGTTACCATATATACTTGAGTATAAGCCGACCCGAATATAAGCCAAGGCACCTAATTTTACCACAAAAAAACTGGGAAAACATATTGACTCAAGTATAAGCCGAAGGGGTGAAATACAGCAGCTACTGGTAAATTTCAAAATAAAAATAGATACCAATAAAATTACATTAATTGAAGCAGCGATAGATTAAATATTTTTGAATATTTACATAAAACTCCAATTTAAAACTGCCCAGCTCTGATTAAACCATTATTCTAACCCTCTTCAACATAAATGTGCATAGGTATCCTTCCAATAATAATAGAGAGAGTAAAATAATGAATGTAACAATGATAATAATAGAGTAAAATAATGGAAATGTAATAACAGTAATAATAGAGTAAAATAATAAATGTAATAATAACAATAATAAATAGAGCAAAATAATAAATATAATAATAATAATAACAACAGAGTAAAATAATAAATAACCTTGATTCGATTATAAGCCGAGGAGGACTTTTTCAGCTTAAAGAAAGGGCTGAAAAACTATTATTATTTATTTATTTAGAACTTTTATATACCAGTCTTCTCGACCTCTAGAGAGGGACTCAGGCCGGTTTATAACACGATTCAAAACAATAGTTTAAAACATCACACCATAAAACACATTAATACAAAAATACATTAAAAGCAATCATATAATTACATAAAGCCAGGTCATCCAAAAGATATCACAATTCAGTATCATCCGTCCGTGTGGCCAGAAGCTCTTGACTCACTCATCAAATGCTAAATTCCAGAGCCAAGTTTTCACCAATTTTCTAAAAGTCAGGAGGGAAGGGGCAGTTCTAATCTCCAGTGGGAGAGAGTTCCAGAGCCATGGGGCCACCACCGAGAAGGCCCTGTCCCTCGTCCCCGCCAAACACACCTGCGAGGATGGTGGGACCGAGAGCAGGGCCCCTCTGGAAGATCTTAATAAGCTTGACGGTTCATAGGGGAGAATCCGTTCGGACAGGTAAACTGGGCCGGAGTCGTTTAGGGATTTATAGGTCAACACCAGCACTAGGCTTATACTCGAGTATATACAGTACTTCCCAATGAGAAAAGGGCTAAAAAAACCCAGAGGACACAGCATGAGGCAAAACTAACTGCACTCCACTTTGGAAGTCAACAACATCTTCCTTCTTGGGTTGGAGGCACAAGAGGGCTTCAAGATTTCCAAATTCTCAAATCTAGGCATTTGTCCATCTCGTTTAAGCAGCAGAGGACTACTATCAAGTTGGCCTCTGCCAACCTAGAGATACACTCACCCTGTGGACATTGATGGATGGGAACATGTTTTGGAACATGGTGGACATGATCTTGATATGCATGCCCTGAATGCCAAAATTATTGAGGATCAGGAGAGGGTGGTGGGTGAACTGTTGCTCATGCATCCGGTGACGCTTCAGAGACGACACGACGTCTTTGATGAGTGAATACTGAAGTGTAAGAGAAAAAGAAAGGAGTGAGATTCATAAAATCCTGAAAACGCGACAGGCCTGTAGGAAAAGCATACATTCTTTTCTAAAGACATTAACGAAAATACCACAAGTGAAATACATAGCAGCATGCAGTAACGGGCAGATAACTGTGATTCTCAACAGTATTAAAAATGAAATGCCCACATATTTCTAATGCTCAGCACAGCAACATGTACTTGAAAACACACAGGCTGTCTGTTTTTTAAAGTATCAAAGCTCAGAAGGGTGCTTGAGTAAGAAACCATGACATCTACATGAAAGCCAAGATCATTAGGGAAAAAACAAAGCAAAAGAAAATGTAAATAAGCTGCTTTGAGCTGACTTTTCTTTGTACAAATTTCACAAGTTCAAACATTTAGGAGAGGACAACCTGCACTCTGGCAGAAGACAAGTAACAAATTAGAATGTATGGAATACGAACAGGGAAAATGTAGAGCAGTGGTTCTCAACCTTCCTAATGCTGCGACCCCTTAATACAGTTCCTCATGCTGTGGTGACCCCCAACCATAGAATTATTTTCGTTGCTACTGGTGGGGTGGGGCGGATTGATTTTGACATTTGGGATTTATAGTTCACCTACAATCAAAGAGCATTCTGAAATCTACCAGCGATGGAATTGAACCAAACCTGGCACACAGAACTCCCATGACCAACAGAAAATACTGGAAGGTTTTGGTGGGCATTGTCCTTGAGTTTGAGAATTGTAGTTTACCTACATCCAGAGAGCACTGTGGACTCAAACAATGATGGATCTGGACCAAACTATGCCCACATGTCAACACTGGTGAAATCTGGGGAAAATAGACTTGATATGTGGGAGTTGTAGTTGCTGGGATTTACAGTTCATCTACAATCAAAGAGCATTCTGAACTCCACTAACAATTGAATTGAACCAAACTTGGCATATATCGTTCCCAAGCCCAACATAAAATACTGGAAGGGTTTAGTGGACATTGACCTTGAGTTTGGAGTTGTAGTTCACCTACATCCAGAGAGCACTGTGGAATCAAACAATGATGGATCTGGACCAAATTTGGCACAAACACTCAATATGCCCAAATGTGAACACTGGTGGAGTTTGGGGAAAATAGAATCTTGACATTTGGGAGTTGTAGTTGCTGGGATTTATAGTTCACCTACAATCAAAGAGCATTCTGAACTCCACTAATGGAATTGAACCCAACTTGGCACAGAGCTCCCATGCCCAACATAAAATACTGGAAGGGTTTAGTGGACATTGACCTTGAGTTTGGGAGTTGTAGTTCACCTACATCCAGAGAGCACTGTGGAATCAAACAATGATGGATCTGGACCAAATTTGGCACAAACACTCAATATGCCCAAATGTGAACACTGGTGGAGTTTGGGGAAAATAGAATCTTGACATTTGGGAGTTGTAGTTGCTGGGATTTATAGTTCACCTACAATCAAAGAGCACTCTGAACCCCACCAATGATAGAATTGAGTCAGACTTCCCACACAGAGACCCCCATGACCAACAGAAAATACTGTGTTTTCTGATGGTCTTCGGTGACCCCTCTGACACCCCCTTGTGACCCCCCTAGGGGTCCCGACCCCCAGGTTGAGAAACACTGATGTAGAGGCTGTTAGAGAATAACTCTCACAATTCCTCTATGTATGCTGTGATGGCTAGGGATCGTGGGAACAGAGATACAGCTTAATGGTGTAACATTAGAAAATGTTGACCGCTACGTTGGCAGCCACCTCTCCACCAAAGTCAACATCGACACCGAAATACAACACCGCCTGAGCTCTGTGAGCGCAGCATTTTTCTGAATGAAGCAGAGTGTTTGAGGACCGGGACATCCGTAGGGATACCAAGGTGCTTGTTTATAAAGCTATTGTCCTCCCAACCCTGCTATATGCCTGCAAAACGTGGACTGTCTACAGACGTCACATGGAACTCCTGGAACGATTCCATCAGCTATGCCTCCGGAAAATCCTGCAAATCTCTTGGGTAGACAAGCGGACAAATGTCAGCGTGCTGGAAGAAGCAAAGACCACCAACATTGAAGCGATGGTCCTCCGCCATCAACTCCGCTGGACTGGCCACGTTGTCCAGATGCCCAACCACCGTCTCCTAAAGCAGTTGCTCTATTCCGAACTCAAGAACGGAAAACGGAATGTTGGAGGACAGGAAAAGAGATGTAAAGACGGGCTCAAAGCCAACCTTAAAAACTGTGGCATAGACACTGAGAACTGGGAAGCCCTGGCCCTTGAATGCTCCAGCTGGAGGTCAGCTGTGACCAGCAGTGCTGCAGAATTTGAAGAGGCACGAATGGAGGGCGAAAAAGAGAAACATGTCAAGAGGAAGGCGCGTCAAGCCAACCCCGATCGACCGCCTTCCTCCTGGAAACCTCACTGTGGGAGAAGATGCAGATCAAGAATAGGGCTTCAAGGTCACCTACAGACCCACCAGAACACTGATCCTGGAAGACTATCCTACTTGGCCAACAAGGGATCGCCTAAGTAAGTAAAGGTAAGGTGGGAACAGTGCTCCCATTACTGAAGGGTCATATGTTCTGCATGCCCACTGCATAATATTCATCAGAATTTTTCAATAAACTCTAGCTGGGTATTTCAGAGGCAAATTCAGTACCATCTAGCCTACCCCGTTGCAGAAAGCCTCACCCTTTGGGTACCTGAGTGACTCTGAAGGTCAGGGTTGGTCCTCCAGGAAGACGGCAGAGTTTCTAAGAAAGAAAAGAAAAATAATAAAGTATTAATTCTAAAAAAAAGTGTTTCAATATAAGCTTCATGCTAGAGAAGATTCTACCATGGGCAAATAGATTAGCAATGTTTATCCAAGAACTTTTAAGTGTCCTGGACAGTCTTTCTCCTGATGCATCAGTGCGTTTACTTTGAAATGAGAATCATCGGTTGTACTCAGAAAAATAGACTGTCATCATTTGCATCAGATCAACAGACTGAAGAAGACAGTAAAGCTTGGCAAATAAAGTAGAGTGAAGAAACACCACTCATTTATATTACAATTCTCAGAATCCCCTGCCAGCATAGCCATACCCTGACCAAAGGAAACTGAATGATGGTGGGAGGAAGGGAGAGCATTCTCAGTCAAAAAAAAGAAAACAAAAACACAGAGCTTTATGAAATGAACAATTCTGAAGCACGTGTTCACCACATCACTTACAAGATTGATAGTGGAGGGAGTTTTTGTGAATACTAGGAAATGAGTGATTCCCAGGGGTCCTGCTATCGTCACAAAATCTTTGAGAGAGTTTTTCTTCCGCACCTGAAAAAAGAGAAACGATTGATCATGGCAGCCCTTGTTCGGGATGCCTTGAAAACAGAGCCTAGGATATAAAATTTTCCACCCAACACACTCCTCCCATCTGCAAACAACAGCATTTTAATAAACTGTTGAGAGCCACTTTGGGTCCCATTTAGGGAAAAAAGTGTGATATAAATAAAGATGTATTATTATTTATTTATTTAGATAGGCCACAAACTGATAGCTGGTTGCAGGAAAAAGATTTTTAAACGGGTTGTGACCTTTTTGCCATGATTTTAAAATGTGTTCTAAACTGTTTTAAAATTAGTGTTTATTAGGACTGCTTATTTAATTTTTAAAAAACCTTTAAGATTTATTTTGCACATTGTTTTTATTTAGCTTGTGAACTGCCTTGAGTCCAGTAGCAAGCGATGGTCAGATATATGTTCTATAACAGGGGTCCATAAACATTTTAAACAGAGGGCCAGATCACAGTCCCTCAAACTGTTGGAGGGCCGGATTATAATTTGAAAAAAACATGAATGAATTCCTACGCACATTGCACATCTTATTTGTAGTGCAAAGATCACTTAAAAACAATACAATAATTAAAATGAAGAACAATTTTAACAAATATAAACTTATTAGTATTTCAATGGGAAGTGTGGGCCTACTTTTGGCTGATGAGGCAGGATGGCTGTTCTTTTTGTGTGCTTTCAAGTCGTTTCAGACTTAGGTTGACCCTGAGCGAGGGCCGGGTAAATAACTTTGGACGGCCATATCCCTCCAAGGATACCCCTGTTCTATAAATTAAGACACAAATGTATTGTCGAAGGCTTTCATGGCCGGAATCACTGGGTTGTTGTAGGTTGTTTCGGGCTGTATGGCCATGGTCTAGAGGCATTCTCTCCTGACGTTTCACCTGCATCTATGGCAAGCATCCTCAGAGGTAGTGAGGTCTGTTGGAACCAGGAAAAAGTGTTTATATATCTGTGGAATAACCAGGGTGGGACAAAGGACTCTTTGTCTGCTGGAGCTAGGTGTGAATGTTTCAACTGACCACCTTGATTAGCATACAATGGGCTGACTGTGCCTGGAGCAAACTTTTGATGAGAGGTGATTAATGTCCTTGTTTGTTTCCTCTCTCTTGTTGTGCTGTTGCAATTTTAGAGTTTTTTAATACTGGTAGCCAGATTTTGTTCATTTTCATGCTTTCCTCCATTCTGTTGAAATTGTCCACATGCTTGTGGATTTCAATGGCTTCTCTGTGTAGTCTGACATGGTGGTTGTTAGAGTGGTCCAGCATTTCTGTGTTCTCAAATAAAATGCTGTGTCCAAGTTGGTTCATCAGGTACTCTGCTATGGCTGACTTCTCTGGTTGGAGTAGTCTGCAGTGCCTTTCATGTTCCTTGATTCGTGTTTGGGCAATGCTGTGTTTGGTGGTCCCTATGTAGACTTGTCCACAGCTGCATGGTACACGGTAGACTCCTACAGAAGTGAGAGGATCCCTCTTGTCCTTTGCTGAACGTAGACTACTTCAACCAGAAAAATCAGCCATAGCAGAGCACCTGATGAACCAACCTGGACCACTCTCACGGCCACCATGTCGGACTGCACAGAGGGGCCATTGAGGTGCACAAGCATGTGGACAGTCTCGGCAGAGGGGAGGGGGCCATGAGGATGAGCAAAATCTGGCTACCAGTATTAAAGAGCTCTAGAGTTGCAGCGGCACAACAATGGAGGGGAGGCAGGCGGGGACATCTGGTTGCCTCCTAACATTGTGGGCTATACACTTTTATTATGTGTATAGATAACCATTTTGTCTTGCATTTGCCTCTTTTCGCACTCACTGAATAAGACAACTGCTGTCATGAAATGTAGTGTAGTACCACAGCCACCCAACAATTTTACCTTTAGGCTGGTAGCAGTGTAGGGGAGCATCACCTTCCGAACATCCAATACAAGCTGCTGCAGGTTCTTTCCCACCTGACCACGGTGAAAAACAAAGGAGTGGGGCACAGAGCCATATTCCTCCTGAGCTCGATGCTGGGCTGCTGCACGCTCTTTCTTTTGATTTTTAGTCTGGATAGAGAAGGAACTGTATGAGTTGTGCCACATGGAGTGCACATAGCACAGAAAACCCATCTCAATGACATCATTCCACCACCCCACTCCAAATACCCTTCAAAGGCAACAGTCCTTAATCCCTCTCTCCTTTCTCACAATTTAGAGTTGAGATCAGAATTATTTTAAGAATGGAAGCAACACTCCCATAGCATTATCCCATGGCCAAAACCCACTAGACAAGGCAAAATAGACAGCTCCAGGCAAACAAATCCAGGGTACCAAAAGCTCAACATGGCAACACAAACCTATTGGGTCAACCAGGAAATCAACAGGATGGGAGAGAAGGGAGACTAGGACGCAGAACAATGGCTTCAAACTACAAGAGAGGAGATTCCATCTGAACATGAGGAAGAACTTCCTGATTGTGAGAGCTGTTCAGCAGTGGAACTCTCTGCCCCGGAGTGTGGTGGAGGCTCCTTCTTTGGAAGCTTTTAAACAGAGGCTGGATGGCCATCTGTCAGGGGTGATTTGAATGCAATATTCCTGCTTCTTGGCAGGGGGTTGGACTGGATGGCCCATGAGGTCTCTTGTTTAACTATTGTTTAATTATGAGCTATCTCCTCAAAATCAACTAAAACTCTTAAATATATCAAAACAGAATGGACAATGCAGGTTGTTTTTCAATATTATCTGTGGACCATTTGCTTTAAATCAAGAGATGAAGAAAATTAAACCATCAGAAGAAAAGAGGTACGGAATAATTAAGACAACATTTGTCACAGGAAGCTATACTGAGAATTCACAGTAATGAAGTTACTTTTCAATTAAATCTAACAGATTATCATTTGACTCTCAGAGGGAAAAGACCAGGTGTTTTGGACTTCAGCTTCCAGAAATCCTAGCCAGCTTACAAACGGAAGCTTACGCCGCTCCCCGGATTCGAACCTGCGACCTTTGGGTCAACAAGCTCGGCGCTTTAACCCACTGTGCCACCGGGGGCTCCTTTTGTGGAGATAAAGTGGGGTATAAATAATAATAATTATTGTATTGTCGAAGGCTTTCATGGCTGGAATCACTCAGTTCTTGTGGGTTTTTTCGGGCTATATGGCCATGTTCTAGAGGCATTTCTCCTGATGTTTTGCCTGCATCTATGGCAAGCATCCTCACCTCTGAGGATGCTTGCCATAGATGCAGGCGAAACATCAGGAGAAATGCCTCTAGAACATGGCCAAATAGCCCGAAAAAACCCACAAGAACTGATTAATTATTATTTTGCCATTTTATGCAAGGGACACCATTATACTACATCACTAATGGAATGAGCATCCACAAATTTTGGCAGACCCAAGGCATTTTCCATATGCTGTTTACAATGCTGGTCAAATGGGAAATGTAGGCCACAGGGATTTCTAGTCTGATAAGAAAATGCTATTTAAAAAGTTGTCATAGAATCAAGGAGTTGGAAGAGACCTCATGGGCCATCCAGTCCAACCCCCTGCCAAGAAGCAGGAATATTGCATGCAAAGCACCCCTCACAGATGGCCACCCAGCCTCTGTTTAAAAGCCTTCAAAGAAGGAGCCTCCACCACACTCCGGGGCAGAGAGTTCCACTGCTGAACGGCTTTCACAGTCAGGAATCATAGAGTTGGAAGAGACTTCATGGGCCTTCCAGTCCAACCCCCTGCCAAGAAGCAGGAATATTGCATTCAAAGCACCCCCGACAGATGGCCATCCAGCCTGTTTAAAAGCCTCCAAGGAAGGAGCCTCCACCACACTCCGGGGCAGAGAGTTCCACTGCTGGACGGCTCTCACAGTCAGGAAGTTCTTCCTCATGTTCAGATGGAATCTCCTCTCTTGTAGTTTGAAGCCATTGCTCCGCGTCCTAGTCTCCAAGGCAGCAGAAAACAAGCTTGCTCCCTCCTCCCTGTATTTAATGCAGAAGCTGGGGCTAACAGCAGAAGCTCACACCGCTCCCCAGATTCGAACCTGCGACCTTTTGGTCAACAAGCTCAGCGCTTTAACCCACTGTGCCATCGGGGGCTCCTCCTCATCTATATTTAGTTAATGTTGTTTGACTCCACTTGAACTTGCCTGGCTCAGTGCTATGGAATGATGCGAGCTGTAGTTTGGGGAGGCCTTGGAAAACTACTCTTTGGCCTTGGGAAACTACAGCAACTGTGAGTCCATAGCATTGAGCCAAAAAAGTTAAAGTGGGGTGGAACTGCATTGATTCTACAGTGTAGAGGCACTCCTCAGCCCTGGGATTCCAAGAATTTCTCATTACTGAATCACCCTAATATACATCTAGGGCACATTTCTCCCATTTCAACATATAGGGCCCAAAAATATCGCCTTCCTTTGCCTTTCCCTTAGTTCCCCCTTCCTTGAAGATCAATCTGAGCTTGATCTGAGCCTCAAACTTCAAAATCTCCCCCAAGATCCTCCCCAGAGCCCATTTTTCCTCACCCTGCCGGTCTTCCCCATGGCGAGCGCGCCTTCTCGCTTCTCCTCTGGAGGAGACCGCGTGCAGCCCAGCCACTTCCGGTCTCACGTGTTCCCTTCTCAGAGCGCCGGGTTCGAACGCTCTCATCAGCCCCGGAGTTCCGGCTTACCGCAGCAGTCCTTCTGCGTGTGCAACTACCAGATGGGTCCGGAGTGACACTTGAGATCAGTTGTGATTGACTCGCAGTGACAGTCTTACAGCTGGGACAAAGGAAGTTATTCCTTTAAAAACTAGAATGGATACAGTTTGACACCGCTCTCACTGCCATGGCTTAAAGCTGTCCAATCATGGGATTTGTAGTTTTACAAGGTCTTCTCTGCCAAAGAGGGCTGGTGCCTCACTAAACTACAAATCCCAATAATCCATAACATCTATATATATAAAAATGCTCTGTGCATAATGAGTACCTTAAAAACAAAAGAACCAATGAACGAAATCACACCAAATTTGGCAACAAAACGTCTCACAACACAAGGAGTGACCATCACTCAAAAAATTAAAATGATTTTGTCATTTGGGAGTTGTAGTCGCTGGGATTTATAGTTCACCTACAATCAAAGAGCATTTTGAACTCCATCAACGATGGAATTGAGCCAAACTTGGCACACAGAACTCCCATGACCAACAGAAAATATTGGAAGGGTTTGGTGGGCATTGACCTTGAGTTTGGGAGTTGTAATTCACCTACATCCAGAGAGCACTGTGGACTCAAACAATGATGGATCTGGACCAAACTTGGCACGGATACTCCATACGCTCAAATGTGAACACTCGGGTTTTGGGAAAATAGACCTTAAGATTTGGGAGTTGTACTTGCTGGGATTTATAGTTCACCTACAATCAAGGAGTGTTCTGAACCCCAACAATGATAGAATTGGGCCAAACTTCCCACACAGAACCCCCATGACCAACAGAAAATACTTAAAGCCACCCAGTCCAACTCCCTTCACCGTGGCAAGAAAACATAATCAAAGCCCTCCTGACAAAGAGCCATCCATCCATAGAGATAGATAGATTCAGTGGTTCTCAACCTGGGGTCCCCAGATGTTTTTGGCCTACAACTCCCAGAAATCCTAACATCTGATAAACTGGCTGAGATTTCTGGGAGTTGTAGGCCAAAAACATCTGGGTACCCCAGGTTGAGAACCAATAGATAGATATGATTCACACACACACAGATATAGTATAGATTTGAAAGGGACCCTTAAAGAAGGACAATGATATGTTGCATGTTCCAGGGTGGGCAAACCAGACAGTCTCCACATCAACACTGACAAAGAAACAGCAAGAAATACTGTTTACCCACAAGCATAAAGAAATTACATATATTAGAAACCAACACTTTCTCATTACTTTATTTTCCATATCAACAGACTGGGCCACAGAAACGCGTGGCAGGGGTCAGCTAGTTGCCAACTAAAAATGGTATCAAACTGCATTCATTCGACAGTGTAGATGCACTTTAACTGGCTCAGTGCTGTAGGCTTCTGGGATTTGTAGTTTATTGGCAGAAAGAGATCTTGTGGAACTATAACTCCCATGATTCCATAGCATTGAGCCATGATAGTTGAAGTGGTGTCAAACTGCAATCATTCTCCTGTGTAGATGCACCCAAAGACAAGAATACAGACTATTTAACTAGAGATATCAGATTGGCCACCTTCCTCTTGTCTTTTAGAAGGAAAATCAAGACCTGGCGATGGGACCAAGCGTTTGATCAGTGAGCAGCAAGTGGAAGAAGATCACACAACTTATGGCATTGACAACTAAAAGGGGTATCGACAGTGTAAATGCACCTTTACTTAGGTGATCCCACGTAGTCTGAGGATTATGGTCCTCCAAGTGTAGTATCCTGGCAGTGGATCCGTAGGTGACTGTGGAGCCCTATTCTTGATCTGCATGTTCTCCAGCAGTGAGGGCATCGGTTTCCAGGTGGAAGGCGGTCCTGGTCGAGGTTGGCTTGACATGCCTTCCTCTTGGCACGTTTCTCTCTTTCGCCCTCCATTCTGCCTCTTCAAATTCTGCAGCACTACTGGTCACAGCTGATCTCCAGCTGGAGTGCTCAAGGGCCAGGGCTTCCCAGTTCTCAGTGTCAATGACAGAGTTTTAAAGGTTGGCTTTGAGCCCATCTTCCAATCTCTTTTCCTGCCCACCCACATTCCGTTTTTCGTTCTTGAGTTCGGAGTAGAGCTACTGCTTTGGGAGACGGTGGTCAGGCATCCGGACAACATGGCCAGTCTAGCGGAGTTGATGGCAGAGGACCATCGCTTCAATGCTGGTGGTCAGTGCTGGAAGAGATGCACCTTAACTTGTTCAGTGGTGTAGGCTTCTGGGATTTGTAGGTTTTTTAATTATATTCTTTATTAAGGTTTTCTTAAAATACACAAATATAATAAAAGTCATCTGTCATAGAATCATAGATTTGGAAGAGACCTCATGGGCCATCCAGTCCAGCCCCCTGCCAAGAAGCAGGAAAATTGCATTCAAAGCATCCCCGACAGATGGCCATCCAGCTTCCAAAGAAGAAGCCTCCACCACACTCCAGGCCCAGGGCACACAGTTCCACTGTTGAACATCTCTCACAGTCTGGAAATTCTTCCTAATGTTCAGATGGAATCTCCTTTCTTGCAGTTTGAATCCATTGTTCCGTGTCCTAGTCTCCAAGGAAGCAGAAAACAAGCTTGCTCCCTCTTCCCTGTGACTTCTACTCAAGTATTTACTTACTTACTTACTTAGGTGATCCCTCATTGGCCGAGTAGGATAGTCTTCCAGGATCAGTATTCTGGTGGGTCCGTAGGTGACTGTGGAGCCCTATTCTTGACCTGCATTGGTTTCCAGGTGGAAGGCGGTCTCGGTTGGGGTTGGCGCCTTCCTCTTGGCACGTTTCTCTCTTTCAGCACTATGTCCCAGAAGCACTTTATTAGAGTTTAAGACTCTCTGCACACTGCACTTGCCCAGAAATCCAACATACCACCTGTCACACCCAGCACTTTTTTAATCTGTACCCATCACTGGCCCGGCCCTGGTTTTTATTGCGTAATGGTGTAGTGTTTGTTATTGCTTTATGTTTTTAATTTGCTCTGAATTATATTGTTGTTGTTATGTTGTTGTTGTGTTGAGGCCTTGGCCTTTGTAAGCCGCATCGAGTCCTTCGGGAGATGCTAGCGGGGTACAAATAAAGTTAATAATAATAATAATAATAATTTCACCCTCCATTTGTGCCTCTTCAAATTCTGCAGCACTTCTGGTCACAGCTGACCTCCAGCTGGAGCACTCAAGGGCCAGGGCTTCCCAGTTCTCAGTGTCTATGCCAGAGTTTTTAAGGTTGGCTTTGAGCCCATCTTTAAATCTCTTTTCCTGTCCTCCAACATTCCGTTTTCCGTTCTTGAGTTCGGAGTAGAGCAACTGCTTTGGGAGACGGTGGTGGGACATCCGGACAATGTGGCCTGTCCAGCGGAGTTGATGGCGGAGGACCATTGCTTCGATGCTGGTGGTCTTTGCTTCTTCCAGCATGCTGACATTTTTCCGTTTGTCTTCCCAAGAGGTTTGCAGGATTTTCCGGAGGCAGCGCTGATGGAATCGTTCAAAGAGTTCGTTCGTTCTCACGTATTTATACAATACATGGCTATCATATCTCCTCTTAGCCTTCTCTTCTTCAGGCTAACCATGCCCAGCTCTTTAAGCCGCTCCTCATAGGGCTTGTTTTCCAGACCCTTCATCATTTTAGTTGCCCTCCTCTGGACACGTTCCAGCTTGTCAATATAGGCCTTGAGTTTGATACATGTGGTCAAACTCGATTGTTCTTCCAAGCTGTAAGACCCCTATAATCCAGTTCAGTGTGGATTTTATACAGCTGTGTGGAAGCGGCTTTGCCAGTTTCCACCTTTGAAGCACAACCTGGCGGTGTTTTTTCGCCCGAGAATGAGCCGAGTAATTGTGCGACGCTGCCTACCAGTTGCAGCGAGGAAGCTGAGCGACGCTCCCTGGTTGCCAGGGGCAACGGGGACGCAGCACGCGGACGCCGTGGCTGGGAAGGAGAGGTCTGCTTTGTCTTCACGAGGTCAGGAGCTGCCGCCTCGAGGGGACGGTTAGGGGCCGCCACGTGACCTGCTCAGCGGCCGAAGCCCCGCCCCCAGGCCTTACCTGCAGGCTTCTTCCCTCTTTGGCGTTGCCAGGCAACATTCTTTCAGTGCCAGGGCGCACCCTCTGAACTTGTCCTTCCTTCTTCCCTCAGTAGACAGAAAATGCCAGGCTCTCCTTCCTCACACCCCTCTCCATGCCTTTCTGGCTCTCTTTTCCCTAAAAGCTGAGTGAGGATTCTAGGGCACCCTTTCCTGTCCCTATAGCCCACTTTAAAGATGTGTTGAAGGGAGGTGGGTCTAATTTAGCCAGGGCTTTGAGGCCCTCTCATAGTCACTTCTCTTCTGTCCTCAGTACATCCCTTAATGGTTCTGGTTCCATAGGAGAAATTGTCCCTAAAGTTCCAGAGCATCAAGGTGACCACAACACTCATTTGCTGCCACTTTTCTTCACTCCCACAGAAGTCCCTGTGCACCCACATCTCACTGCTCTATATTTGAATATGGCTTTGCTGTGGGCTTCATGGCCATCTCATATTTGTGCATGGAAGCCAGTTGCTAGATGTTCTTGGTAAAGGTGGCCTTAACGTTCTAGTTTAGTTGTCGCTGTAAAGCCAATAACCGTACTACCTTGTTAGGACCATACATTCCCTGTACGAATCTTTCACTTGTCTTGTGCCTCCCTTTATTATTGTACCCCACTGCCTCACACCTGCTACTTCTCCTGGTAAAGCTTGCCACTAGCTAATCTTGGGACTGCATCCTCTATACCTCTTCCCCTCCACACTTAAAGGCCACGGCTTCTAATCTCAGCACTCTGTGTTAAGCCCTTAGTGGGGTCATGCCAGTTTCTTAGCAAACTTTCTCCACAAAACTAGGGTAAGGAACACATTCTTTGCAAAATCCCATTGCCTCATTCTGCCAGGAAAACCTCCACAACATCCTTTGTTCTGCCTTCCCAGAACAAAGGAGGAGCCCTCCTCCTTTCACTTGGCTTGTGCCCCCCTTTATTATTGTACCCCACTGCCTCACACCTGCTACTTCTCCTGGTAAAGCTTGCCACTACTTTTGTTTAGATCACATATTTAGGATCACCACACTGCCTTGTTAGGACCACACATCCCCTGTACGAATCTTTCCTATAGCTTGTGCCCCTCTTTAATATTGTACCCCACTGCCTCACAACTGTTACTTGCCCTGGTAAAGCTTGTCACTAGCTTTGTTTAGATCACATATTTAGGATCACCGCACAACCTTGTTAGGACCACACATTCCCCGTACACTTGCTACTTCTCCTGGTAAAGCTTGCCACTAGCTTTGTTTAGATCACATATTTAGGATCACCGCACTGCCTTGTTAGGACCACACATTCCCTGTACGAATCTTTCCCATGGCTTGTGCCCCCCTTTATTACTGTACCCCACTGCCTCACGCTTGCTACTTCTCCTGGTAAAGCTTGCCACTAGCTTTGTTTAGCTCACATATTTAGGATCACCGCACTGCCTTGTTAGGACCACACATTCCCTGTACGAATCTTCCCCATGGCTTGTGCCCCCCTTTATTATTGTACCCCACTGCCTCACACCTGCTACTTCTCCTGGTAAAGCTTGCCACTAGTTCTGTTTAGATCACATATTTAGGATCACCGCACTGCCTTGTTAGGACCACACATTCCCCGTACGCTTGCTACTTCTCCTGGTAAAGCTTGCCACTAGTTTTGTTTAGATCACGAATTTAGGATCACTGCACTGCCTTGTTAGGATCACACATTCCCTGTACGAATCTTTCCCATGGCTTGTGCCCCCCTTTATTATTGTATCCCACTGCCTCACGTCTGCTACTTCTCCTGGTAAAGCTTGCCACTAGCTTTGTTTAGATCACATATTTAGGATCACCCCACTACCTTGTTAGGACCACACATTCCCTGTACGAATCTTTCCCATGGCTTGTGCTCCCCTTTATTATTGTACCCCAGTGCCTCACGCCTGCTACTTCTCCTGGTAAAGCTTGCCACTAGCTTTGTTTAGATCACATATTTAAGGATCACCGCACTGCCTTGTTAGGACCACACATCCCCTGTACAAATCTTTCCCATGGCTTGTGTCCCCCTTTATTATTGTACCCCACAGCCTCACACCTGCTACTTCTCCTGGTAAAGCTTGCCAGTAGTTTTGTTTAGTTCACATATTTAGGATCACCGCACTACCTTGTTAGGATCACACATTCCCTGTACAAATCTTTCACATGGCTTGTGCCCCCCTTTATTATTGTACCCCACTGCCTTACGCTTGCTACTTCTCCTGGTAAAGCTTGCCACTAGCTTTGTTTAAATCACATATTTTGGATCATCGCACTGCTTTGTTAGGACCACACATCCCCTGTACAAATCTTTCCCATCCAAAACAAGCCATTTTGCTGCCAGACAAAGCACAGCCTGCCAGTTGTCGAAGAGGACAGTAAACTGCCTACAATCTGCCTTTCCCTCCTGACATCTTTTTTATAACACTTATTTGGATTGAGTAGTTTTGTTTGCTGCTGTGCTGGAAGCATCGTGTTTTGCCAGCCAGTTCTCCCAGCACAAGTTTGTGGGTCTGGATTATGGCCTCGGAGGCGGTGAAAGTGATTGTGCGTTGCCGGCCTCTGAATGAGCGCGAGAAGCAGATTGGCTGCAAGATGGTAGTCAGTATGGACAGCACCCGTGGCCAGTGCTTCATTCATAACCCATATGCTTCAGACGACCCCCCAAAACAGTTCACCTTTGATGGGGCATATTACATAGACCAGAACACAGAAGAGATCTATAATGAAATTGCGTACCCACTCATCGAGGTGAGTGTAGCTGACTGCAAGTAATTTCCAATCTACTGTTATAAATGTCTTTCTCTTTACCTGCTACCATTCTCAATTAGCATTATCGTTCCAGAGTGTTTTTACCATAACTGCCTTCTGAAGCACAATAGTACCAAAATCAAGCTAAAGATTCTCCAACAGCACAACATCCCTTCTTCATTGGGCCTTAACTTCTACAATCCCTTATCCTTGCCCATACAGGATGAGATTCCTGGCAGATGAAAGGTTCTGTAGTCCTTCCCTATAAGCTATTATACGAGCTCCTGTTTCCTCTCTTACAGAAATTGTCATGAAACCTGAGAATTTCTTGCAGGGTCTTCATTCTATTTTGGGATTGAGGCTTGAGCTGTAGGCCCTTCCACACAGCCTTATAACTCAGAATATCAAAGCTGAATAATTCACAATATCTGCTTTGAACTGGGTTATCTGAGTCCATACTGCCATATATCCTAGTTCAAAGCAGATTGTGTGGGACTTTATTCAGCTGTGTGGAAGGGACCTTTGTATTTCCAACTTCTGTATTTTTCCCACAGACTGATGATATCCATCTAATTTGACAAATTTAGTTTAGCAGGGGTCCCTTTTTGTTAGCGAATGGTATTTAATGACTGTATTGCTTAATGAACAACAAAGGTCTGGATACAATGACTTTTCCTCCCCTTCCTGTCTGGAGACATTATAATGTATGGGTTTATGATAAGAAATTGTGTTTTTGGTCCTCCCAGAACTAGCACCCAGCAATGCCAACAGCAAAGGAGGCAATGGATAGCCAAATATTCACCACCCTGAGGCACAAATCATGTCTTCACCTGTATGTTCATAAATAAATACCGTATTTTGTCGCATAATAGTCACACTTTTTCATTTTTTTAAAAATGCAGCTATTACGCAAGCAAGAAAATATTTTTTTTGTCCTAAAACAGTAATTTTTAAAATAAAACAATGTTGAAAACAACTTGAGAACAGCTTGAAACTGTGTTTTTGGAGGGAATAGTCAGTGACCGAGTGAGTGTGTGAGAAGGTGAGTGAGTGTAAGGGTATTTATTTATTGTGTCATCAGCAACCAGACCATTGTGTTACATTTCTAACAGAACAAAACAAACAAACAGATAAAAAAAATCCACAAATTTTGCAAACTTGGTAGTTGATTAAATGTCCTTTGACCAGTATCTGGCCACTTGGAGTGCCTCTGGTGTTGCCGCAAGAAGCAACCAGAAGTGTAAGTGTGAATGTGTGGGAGAGTTGGAGGGTGGATCTTTGGGAGGGAGGGAGGGTGAGCAAGCAGATGGAGGCTTATACCGGTAAATCAAGTGTGTGACTATTATGCAAGGAAAACAGAAATACTGAAATCAATACCCCCAAATTTGGGGTGCAACTATTATGCAATGGTGACTATTATCCAATGAAATATGGTATCCCCAAATTCTATTGATGCCCTACAATCTTTTCACAAGACACCATTTCCTGATAACCACCAAAACCCTAAAGCTTCTCATCATCATTGGAAAACTGTTATATAGTACTTTTTCTGATAAAATGTACAAACAGAGCTTAAATATCATGTTGAAGATTTCAGACTGGATGCTTTTGTTTAATTTGTTTTCAGATTGTGCTTGTGATGCTACAAGTAGAAACTAAGCTGAAAAACCACTATGATGATGATTTTTTTTCTGGATTCTTGTTATTGTTATTAATATCCAGGGGGTTACAGAAGGCTACAATGGTACCATCTTTGCTTATGGGCAGACAGGCAGTGGAAAGTCCTTTACCATGCAAGGGGTCCTGGAGCCATTTTCCCAGAAGGGCATTATTCCGAGAGCTTTTGAACACTTATTTGAGAGTGTACAGGTATGCAATTGCACAGAAAACATGTCTGATCCCCTGTACTTTTTGTGCTAACATTTTTAATTGATGTTTGAAGAGATCTTGGGGTAGTCTGTGATTTAGTTAAAATTGGCAAGTCATCACAGATGGCATTTTACAGGAAGAGAATTCTGAACCCTCTTTTTGCTTTACATGATTGAAACACAACATTCTCAGCAACTATGGTTACCACAAATGAGGAAGCAGCAATAAGAGCCCCAGAGGAGATGGGAACACATGAACCCATGACTTAATCATCCTATCAGTACTAGGCCAACATTTAAATCAGAATGGAAGAGAATTTAGAGAATGCTAACCCAGAATATTTGGCAGGGTGAACAATCCACTAAGCCAAATGGTTCTGCCCTATATCTGGAGCAACACTGTAGTACCTAACTCAGGCGCCTTCTACACGGCTGAATAAAATCCCAGATAATCTGCTTTGAACTGGAATATATGGCAGTGTGGGCTCAGATAACCCAGTTCAAAGCAGATATTGTAGGATTTTCTGCCTTGATATTCTGGGTTATATGGCTGTGTGGAAGTGTCCTTACAGTGTTAGATTGGGGCCTCTTGAGCTCTGAAACTTGCTGTTTAGCTTTGAGCCTGTTACTTTCTCTCCACCTGATCTACCCTGCAGGATTATTATTGTGAGGATAAAATGGAGAGAGAGAAAGCCTCCTTAGAGATGAGACATAATACAAATGCAGTGAGGAAATAAAAAGATCAATATCATTTCATGGTTGATTAGAGACTTAATATCGACTGCTGCATTGGTTTGGTCATCCATCTAAGGTTGGATTTCCTGTTCAGATATCTAAATATTTTTGGCTGGCTTTGTCTGTGGGATTGCTCAATAAAATGTGTAATTTGAAAACGTGAAAGTAGATTATTGATAGTTGGATATTCATTAGCTGTAGGATATGTGTTAGCTTTTCAGGCCACCACTTTCTGTCTGTCTGTAAGCTTCCTTCATATAACCAGACAGTTTTGAGCAAGATGTTCGAAAATGTAGTCGATACAGAGGAATTCTAAAAGAGGAAACAGGAAAAATAAATCACTTAATGGAGTGAACTAATATCATAGAGAAAAGGCTAGGCAAGAAGCTAGTACATTGATGTAATCATCTGGCTGAAGGAATGGATAACAATTGCCCTTACATGCTAGCATTCTTGATGTAGGGATGTTGGAGGTGGTGTTTTATATGTAAGTTCATTCAATGACTGCTTCTGATGAGATCCCAGATGCAGTCAGAACTGGAAAAGACACAGAGTCAATGAAAACAAAACTATGTCCAAGTGTACATTAGATGTAGAAAATAGACCTTCCGGAGGGAAATGTCAGACTGGGAGCTTTATAAGTATTTGTTATTGTTTTTTCAGTGTGCAGAAAACGCCAAGTTTTTGGTGAGGGCATCTTACTTGGAGATCTATAATGAAGAGATCCGAGACCTCCTTGGTCCTAACACCAAACAAAAGCTTGAGGTAAGGATCATACACCTGACGGACAGGGTGTTAGTTTGAAGTAAAAAATACCCCCAAATAAATTCTAGAAACCAAAATGCTGACAGTTTATGCTAATGACCTATGGTGTAATTATACAAATAAAATATGATTGTCAGTTTGAAGCTAATGATTGGAACTTTGAGAAGTTCGGTCCCTGACATGTTACGTCAGCACCAGTACATTTCTTCTAGGCCATCACAGTGAAAGCTTTCTTTTCTGGCATGTCTCATAGGCACCCTACTTCCATAGATTCAAATGTTGTTCTGTATCAGGATGACTGGTATTGCAATTTGAGGCAAAGTTGAGTTGCTGGAGTTTTAAAGACTGGATCCTGAGATTCATGGGTACAGAATGAGAGCAAAACTTTGACTCATAGATCAGAGGTATGATCTGGTCTAGATTAGGATGGATACCAGTTGGTAGAGATTTAAGTATCTAGTACTTTTACAATCCACATCAGCATTTGTCTATTTGGGGTTATGAGAGCTTTCTTCTTGAAAAATAACCCTTAAGTATTTTGGCCATCTTTTCATAGTTCAGATTTTTCTTCTATTGATGCCTATGATTATCTTGTTTCTGTGGTGTCCCTTGTAGCTGAAGGAGCACCCAGAGAAAGGTGTTTTTGTGAAGGGCCTCTCTCAGCACACTGTGCATAGCATTGCCCAGTGCGAGCGCATCATGGAGACAGGCTGGCGAAACCGTGCTGTGGGCTACACCCTGATGAACAAAGACTCCTCCCGATCCCACTCCATCTTCACCATCAACATGGAGATCTACGTTGTAGGTAAAAGTGGAATATTATCAAAGTAGAGGTGGGCTAAATGTGATGGGATGGAGGTTGGGGTAATTTTGTTAAAGACTGGAGAACAGGAGAACTGGAGAACAGAAGATTAAAAAATGGAATCTAGCATTTATAAAAATCATGTTTCTCAAAGTTAACGATTCCTTTCCACAGGAGTCCTAGGCCCTTTTTATCTGGAGCATAACACACTAGCTCAACTAGAAACATGATACATAATGATTTTATAATGAAGGAAGTTTCTTGGTGGATAAAAGGGGAATGTACAAACAGAGATCTCATCTAATTCTCAGAATCGAACTAATTTCCTTCAGCTATAGAATTCATTAGACACATTCAGGGATTTTAACAGAATCTCTTACGATATCATAGTGGAGTTTGTGCCAGAACAAAGTAGAATGATGTACAGCAGGGATCCTCAAACTTTTTAAACAGAGGGCCAGGTCACAATCCCTCAAACTGTTGGAGGGCCGGATTATAATTTGAAAAAAACATGTGTGAATTCCTATGCACACTGCACATATTTTATTTGTAGTGCAAAAAACATTTAAAAACAATAGAATAATTAAAATGAAGAACAATTTTAACAAATATAGACATTACCATTTCAATGGAAAGTGTGGGGCTACTTTTGGCTGATGAGATAGGATTATTGTTGTTGTTGTTGTTGTTGTTGTTGTGTGCTTTCAAGTCGTTTCAGACTTAAGTTGACCCTGAGCGAGGGCCGGATAAATGACCTTGGAGGGCCACATTTGGCCCCCGGGCCTTAGTTTGAGGACCCCTGATGTACAGCATTACCATCTCATTGTTGAGAAATATGTAATCTTAAACTCAGAGGAAATCAAGCACAGCTTTCCCCAGCCTCATGCCTCAACTGACATTGTGCATTGCCCAGTGCACCTAGAAAGGAAGTCTGCTCTGAATGGTCCAGGAAATGCATCCTCTTCTTTTCCAAACTCATTCTTCCTTTGCAGATGAGAGAGGGCAAGATTATCTGAGGGCTGCAAAGCTCAACCTGGTGGACCTGGCTGGAAGTGAGAGACAATCCAAAACCGGGGCTGTTGGTGAGCGCCTCAAAGAAGCTACAAAAATCAACCTGTCCCTCTCAGCACTGGGCAATGTCATCTCGGCTCTGGCAGATGGGCGGAGCAAGCACGTTCCCTACCGAGACTCCAAACTGACCCGGGTGCTGCAGGACTCTCTCGGAGGCAACACTAAGACACTCATGATAGCCTGTCTGTCTCCTGCTGACAACAACTATGATGAGTCTCTGAGCACCTTGCGGTATGCTCACCGGGCAAAAAACATCAAGAACAAGCCTTGCATTAATGAGGATCCCAAGGACGCTCTGCTGAGGGAGTACCAGGAGGAAATCAAGAAGTTGAAGGCAATCTTGGCACAGCAGCAGAACAGCAGCAGCTGTCAAGGTAGGGTCACTGAATCTATGCTTACATTTATTGCCTTAATTTTTGTATTTGTTTTAAACTGTCACCAAATTGTGTGGTTGTTAGCCACTTTGAATTCTTATGGAGAGAAGGGCAGAATATAAATAAAGTAAATCTATGTATATAATAAAAGTCAGTGTTTGTATGCGGAGGGAGAGTGGTGTATGTGGCAGCTTTTTGATTGGCTGCCACTTTCACAGGCCACTGTGACCAACACGGATGACCCACCTGGACCAAACATGGCACACATAACCCCCATTACCTCCTTTACATCCTGGTGAGGTCTGGGGAAGGACAGACAATGGATGATGGGATTTGTAATACTTTCAAACCCTTCGGTTCCCACAGACCACTCTGGCCCCCAACAAAGACCGATAAAGACTAAACTTGGCACACAGAGCCCCCATGACCCACTCTACATCCTACTGCAGTTTTGAGGAGGGTGGACCATGGATGATGGGACTTGAAATACCTCCACTCACTTCCCAAGACCACTGCGACCCTCATTCAATGACTGTTAAAGACCAAACTTGGCACACATAGCCCCCATGACCCACTTTACATCCTGGTGAGGTTTGGGGAAGGACAGACAATGGATAGTGGGATTTGTAGTATTTTCAAATCCTTCGGTTCCCACAGACCATTGCGGCCCCCAACAAAGACCAATAAAGACCAAACTTGGCACACAGAGCCCCCATGACCAACTCTACATGCTACTGCAGTTTGGAGGAGGGTGGACCATGGTTGATGGGATTTGAAGTACCTCAACTCACCTTATGAGACTGCTGCAACCCTCATCCAATGACTATCAAGACCAAACTTGGCACAAAGAACCCCCATGACCCACTCTACATCGTGGTGCTGTTTGGAGGAGGATGGACTATGGATGATGAGAATTACAATACCTTCATTCACTTCCTGTGACCACAGCAACACTCATTCAATTACCAATAAAGACCAAACTTGGCACAGAGAGTCCCTATGGTCAACTCAACATTCTGGTGCGGGAGGACGGACTATGGATGATGGAACTTCCAGTACCTTCACTCATTTTGTGAGACCACTGCGACCCTCAGCCAATGACTGATCAAGACCAAACTACATCCTGGTGTAGTTTGGAGGAGGATGGACCACGGATGATGGGACTTGAAGTATCTTAACTAACTTCCTGAGACACTGCAAGCCACATAAGTAACTGATAAAGACCAAACTTGGCACATAATGCTTTTCTCAATTAACCCGGGCAGCGCCGGGTCCCCAAGCTAGTACATAAGTAAATAAAACTTACTTGCTGGGGAAAGGCTGTATCAGTATCAACAGTGATAACTTCTTAATCTAAGGACAGAGAAGTTTTTCCCTTCCCAAACTAAAAGGATTAGAACATCTTTCTCTAAATTGGCACCCTCCTGGAATGATAAATTATTGCTTTTGACACTTCCAGCTGGCTGAGCCAGTCCTGGATGGGGAAGATAGGGCTTGTAGTAGTTCAACACTACAAAATGCAGAAGTTAGCATGGTTTTGAACATTTAAATTCAGCTTACAAATGTTTTCATTGTCTTGTTTTGAAACTGTTTCTATTTTATATATATATATTTTTATATATGGGAATTGCATATTGTTTCTACAGTAGAGATAAGGAGCGAAAATGGGGGAAATGACCTAGATTTCCCCTTCTCATGTGCTTCCTGTCAGAAGACATGATCCCACCTCTCAATGTTGGTGTAGTTGGTGAAGTTTTTTTTATTTGTTTTTTGAGCCATTAATCAATTTTTTCTTTTGGGTTGTTGTAGGTTTCTTCGGGCTATATGGCCATGTTCTAGAGGCATTCTCTCCTGACGTTTCGCCTGCATCTATGGCAAGCATCCTCAGAGGTAGTGAGGATGCTTGCCATAGATGCAGGCAAAACGTCAGGAGAGAGTGCCTCTAGAACATGGCCATATAGCCTGAAAAAACCTACAACAACCCAGTGATTCTGGCCATGAAAGCCTTCGACAATATAATTTTCCTTTTCTTTCTCTTCAGCATCTATTTATTGATAGATCGATAAAACAGTGCTTAGAAAAAATACATATAACATGCCATACTATTTGAAAATAAGATCCTTCGGTATTTCAGGAAGAGATTAGCAACACAGCTTGGTCACCAGGCCCAGTTTCTCTGTCACCAAAGGAGTACACTGCAGTCCTTCTAAATTATGTGTTTTCTTTCCTGTCTTGGTAGAACTGTCTCTGCTTTTACCTTCTGAAGTTGCTAAACCTGAAGTGAAGACAGAACCTTCTCTGGAATCCCAAGTAGATGTTGAGAAAGAGAAACAGAAAATCCGAGAAGTAAGTTAATCGCAACAAATATTATGGTTGGAGTTTACTATACAGTAGCCTAAAACTAGAAGTGTTTTGGATTTGGTGCCCCCCTCCCCCAGATTTTTAAATATGTGTATATGTATTGTTCTATATCAGAGATTGGACCTAAGTAAATAATTCTATGTATGAAACCAATTGTATATCCATTGAACCATCAGAAATAGCAAGGATGTCACTGTCTCAGCCATCCATGTGGATAATTTGGGATTATAGAATAGTTCAGATTTCCAGATAAGAGATATGAAACCTACCCTAACCCTTTAATTATGACAGGTCTTTGATTTCTCAAAGTTTTGTTTTCAACCATTTCAAATTTTATGATGCTTTAACTTTCACATTTTTGCATACTGGTAATTTTTAACTGTTTGTTTTAACTGGTGTAGGTCATCTTAAGTTAATTAACTTTTTAAGGCATTCCTGGCTATCTTTGGTTATTGGACTTTGTGAGCTGACCTATTGAACCCTACTTAGAATATTGGCATACATTATTACTAAAAGTCCCCTCAATTCTTGGATGTTCCTAATTTCTCCCACTAGGTCCCTTTAAATGTAATTATCTATTTTCTTGCTGCTTGATACACAGGTGGGCATCCTTTGATCTTATATAACTTCTTGGACTACAGTTCCCATAATCTCTCTGCAGTGGTTGATACAGAGAGATGATGGGATGTGTGGTCCAACAACATCTGGCTGGCCACGTGTTGTTTACACCTGACTTGATTCTTTCTTACATGATTATAGTGGATTTATCCCTTAGGACTGACTTAAGGTTGGGCCTTTCCAAAACCCGAAGGTTTAAAAATCTCTTCAGTACATATGAGCAAAATCTCACTGTCTAAATGAATAAAGGAATGAATCCATCCAGCTCATGAAATTATGACCTTGAGTTGGTATATGGGATGTTTATTTATCGTGTCAGGAGCAAGCCAAACAGTTGTATTGTATTTTTTAACAAACAAACAAACAAACAAACAAACAAACAAACAAAACACAAAGTTTGCAAGCTTGGTAGTTGATTAAATGTACTTTGACCAGTATCTGGCCACTTGGAGTGCCTCTGGTGTTACAATAAGAAGGTCTTCCATTGTGCATGTGGCAGGACTCAGGTTGCATCACGGCAGATGGTCTGTAGTTTGCTCTTCTCCACACTCGCATTTCGTGGATTCCACTTTGTAGCTCCATTTTTTAAGGTTGCCTCTGCATCTCGTGGTACCAGAGCGCAGTCTGTTCAGCGCCTTCCAAGTCGCCCAGTTTTCTGTGTGTCCAGGGGGGAGTCTCTCATTTGGTATCAGCCATTGATGGAAGTTCTGGGTTTGAGCCTGCCACTTTTGGACTCTCGCTTGCTGAGGTGTTCCAGCGAGTGTCTCTGTAGATCTATTTCTTGATTTAAGTCGTGCTGGCTGATACCCAAACAGGGGATGAGCTGGAGATGTCTCTGCCTTGGTCCTTTTACTATATGGGATGTTGAATACTCTTCAAACTTCCTCTACTCTTCTAGGAGTATGAGGAGCGACTGGCCCGGCTGAAGGCTGACTATGAAGCAGAACAAGAATCTCGAGTCCGACTTGAAGAGGACATCAATGCCTTGAGGAATGCATTTGAACAGAAGTTCCATACTTTAGAGGAGAACCTCAAGAAAGAAGCAGGTAGAAGTGAGGCAGATTTAAAAAGAGCCGGTGGATCTTATCAGAAAGATAATGTAAACCAGGATTCCTATTTTCAGGCACTCAGTTTAGAGTTTAAATTCCTGAAGTTCTCATGCATGAAGATATCTCTGCTCAGTAGTTTGAAGTCTAGTTTGAAGTCAGAGATCTAGGACGTCCTTACCTTTCACTATTTCTCTCTGAAAATAATTTGAAAATAATCAGAACAGTAAACAATCTCAGAATAAAGGATTCAAATTATGTGCAAAGTTCCTCAAGAAGAGATGGGATTTGGAACTATTGTTTTGAGATGTATGCTTTCTAGATTGATATATTCCCATAGGCACTGCTGGAAGACTGGTCCTTTGATGCAGGTCAGGAATCGAGACATTGTTTTGGACTGTAACTCCCATAATCCCTTACTGATACCTGTGCTGGCTGGGTTTCTGGTCCAGAATATCTGCTGCACTCCTGATAGATGGGATTCTGTCAGATACAGTTTTGTCTCTCATGTTGCCTTACATTTGTTAAATGTTTGATCAAGGTCATCTAGAAGTTACTCCTTGCATTCGGACTAAGGGCTTGTTTATACTGATTTTATTTTTAAAAAAACAAGCATGCCCATAACATGGCTGCCTTGATCCTGCCACCTAATGTACAACTCATTTAGCAATGGAAGTACTGCTTTAATGCAGTGACAAGCATTGATATTTTAAAAATGTGACTTGCTGGAATATGTTTTATGATATTAAAGATCCCCTTTTTGTGCTGGGAAGGAGGGGTAAACAAAGCTTTGTTTCCACTGCAGCTACCTTCCCAGCCAAATAGCTTTTTCCAAAATGATTTGCCACTGGCTTTCTTTCTGTTCAGGCTGCAAATGTCCTCCCAGCCAAACAACTTCCCAGCCGTTCTGATGAGATTGCTTGCTCAAAACTAGGTGCCCAACCATGGGAGTCAATTGATGCCAAAGCGGGACATCAATTGATGTTTGCGGGACATTGTTTAGCCAGGAAGGCAGTAGTAATGGTAGAAAGGAAGGCAATGTAAAATCATTTTGAAGAAGGAGAAATAAAAATGGGACAGCAGTACAATTTCAGTACAGCAATTATTGGTAAATGTGGCACTAACAGGGCAAATCCAGGGCAGATCTGGGGCAAACCGAATTGCAGTTGGATTATTTTGGTGATGTAGGCAACCCCTTAGATCAGGGGTCCTCAAACTCTTTAAACAGAGGGCCAGGTCACAGTTCCTCAAACCGTTGGAGAGCTGGATTATAATTTGAAAAAAACATGAATGAATTCCTATGCATACTGCACATATCTGATTTGTAGTTTCCCTACGTGAGTGTGCTGTGAATACGCACTAATGGTACTTCTGCGCATGCGTAGCTTCGCTTCGGAATCTTCAGTTAAAAATTTAAAAGAATCAGC